ATGTAATTAAATATGCCTGCCTGCTGTCAGCACTAGGACCAGGTGAGCTCCAACTGTGACCAACGTTAGTGGCCGTTGTTATTTAAAATGTTTGGTTAATTCTAAGTCCATAAGGTCTTGGTTTTTGTTTTCATCTTAAAAAGAGGTTTGTGCTTACCCTCTCTCATGCTTACAGTGATAACCTGCCTGAACTAAGCCTGCGTTTTTGGGCACAGCACATCACGTCCCCTCACGAGAAACACTATGATTGTGTTGGTCTTGGAGTGAGCTGTTGGTCTGTAACGAGCAGAACTGCCATGAACAAAGAAATGCAGACACAGGTCCTGGCAGCGCACAGCCCTGCAGCCAGCGCTGTGCCTGCTGCTGCTCCTTCTCCAGGACTGCTGGTGAGTTCTGGGGGCTTGCCAAGGAGATGTGCAGCCCCCTGTGTGCTGACCTCGATTCTTGCTGAAAGTTGCTGAGGACATTTGGTCATTTTTCAAGTTGTGCTCCTGTTCTTAGTCAATGGGACCCCAAGTGTCAAGCTGAATTCTGTGTGTGTTACAGCCAGTTAGAAGCCAAGTTCTGTGCATGTTTGTCTGTGCAGGCCTTCACGTGGCAAAGGAGCATCTGGAGAGCCAGAATGGAAACTATTTCTTCCTCTGTAGGATAGCTCGGGGTTTTCAGGTCAGTTTTGTTCTGTTCTCTTGCCCTCTTGTGGAGAATGGCATCTTGCTCAGTGCCATCTGCCATATGCTGATAGACCCTGGGAGCTGTGTTGTGCCAGGTTGTGTTCAGGTTTGTGTGCTGATGAAGGCTCTGCTGACTTCAGGCATCTCCCAAAGCTGCAGCAGGGCTGGTGTTGCAGGGCTGGTGTGGCAGGGCTGATCTGCTCTTCAGTTCCTCTGGGAAGAGGTGAGTGCACCATGGTGGGATATGACTTCTCCCATCACAGCCTTGAGTTCAGAACATTTTCCCTTGAGTATCCCAAAGCTGCACTTCTGTTTGCAGCTGTTGGTTTTCTTTTGACAGCACTGAATGTCACAGACATCCCCTCCTTGCTGAAAGCGTGTTGCCATTCTTTGATTTGTTTAAAAGCAAATGAGAAGTTATGTTGTTAGGAATACTTGAGAACTTATTTGCCTTTCTAAAACTCAGTAATACCATTTCCTGCTCTGGAATACCTCATTTTTCCCAGTTACCCAACTCTCGCTCAGCTTGTTGGGATTGAAGAGGATTAATGTTCCCGACTGAGGAATTCCTGGCAGGTGGGAGATGCTGCCCTGTGGGGTGCATTTTGTTGAGAAGAAATATATTTAGAAAAATAGTCTTCAGTCCTTTAAGCAATTGTGGATGTTTCTCCATTGCCTTCTGACAGCATCGTGGTGTGAGAAAGTCTCTGGCCCAGGCCAGGGCTGAGCTCTGCTCTGGAGTTAGTCACCTTTAGGATGTACCTTTCTTTCTGAGCAGTTCTGATGTCTAAACTGCACTGCAATCTGAGCGGGCTGCATTTGCTCTTTGTTGAAGAAGGGAGTATAAATGATAACGTTTTTCTGGGATTATTAAAAATAATGATAATGATAACTATTGGTAATAAACAAACAGTTCCTGCAAGAGCACTAGGAGATTCTCCAGCCCTAAATGCAGTGCTGCCCTGCTCTCCTGGGCTGTGAGAATGGCAGAAGTGTGCATGATATGGATACTGAATGACACCTCAGGATTCTACCCGCAGGTCCGCTTCTGATGCTTTGATTTTTGGTAGCAAGGCAAATGTGAACAAGCAAGCAAACAGAATGCAAGAAGCCCGATGACTGTGTAATCGCTCCCCCCTGGGGTGTGTGGGAGGCTGCAGCTCCTCCCACCCTGCACGGTTTTGGTGCTGCCATGCAGCAGAAGCAATACATAATGCACTGCAGCGCTGGACAGGTATCCATACCTTCACATCTGCCTGCAAATGTAAGCTTTACTTGTAATTAATTAAGAAGCCAACTTGTTGCAGTGCACTGTCCCACTGGGGTCGTGCTGGCTGTCCCCAGGATCCCACAAACAGGAACGTGCCAACAAAAAGTAGCGTGGAGGGGAAAGTTGCATTCTGCTGTGCAGGCTGTGTTCATCCCCTTTCCAATAGAAACCATCTGGACAGCAGTCTTGTCTTGTGCAATACTGTTCTCCTAAGCTTCCACTGTGCTTTGGGTGTCTACCAGCAAGTTTTTGGTCGAGCTCCTCAGCAGCATAACAACGTGAAGCGATGTCTGGTTCAGCCTCCCTGGCTCCTTGCTCTGCAGCCTTGGCTGTGCTTTGTTGTGCCTGCCATGTGTGCTCAGCATCTGCTTGTCCCTGGGCAGGGGCATGCTTTGCAAGCTCCCATGGCTCTTCCCCTGCAGGATGCCTGCAGCTAGAGGATGCTGCTAAAGGCTGAGGCAGAAGCCATCTCCGATCAGGGCACAGTTTCAGAAATGCTTTCTGGGTTATGATGGGCTCTGTAGCACCCTAAATCTTTTCAGAAGAAACCACTTGTCATCAGGTGACTGGAGCTTCTAACGGATTGATGCTTTAATTGCAGAAGCTATGTGACAGAGTGTTACAATTTACGGCTGGATGGAGAGCAATTCAGATCTGTCTATTTCTGGCACTTGGGAAAAAAATTATTTGCAACCCCACTGAAATAAAAATATGCTATTTTCTAAAACCCTAACAGCTAAAAGTTGTTTTTTTCTTTTACTCTTTCCTTCACCAGCAACAGTTCAACCCCGCTGGCCCTCGGAGGCACTGCATGCACTGCTCCTTCCCAAGGTTGCTCTGTCTCTTGGGGGATGATGGGGCCGAGGTTATGCAGCTGTGATAATTGGCCCTACAGTCTTATAGATGAATGTGGAGTCGAGGATGCATGCTGTATGCCCAAATAAGCAGCCTGCCACCAAGCAACAGAGGAATAAAGGAATTAAAGGGGATCTTTTAGATTAAAGTTTCAGTGTACAGAGGAATGGAATTACCTTCTCCCCTCCATTCTTTCACTCTGCTGTAGACAGCAGAGCAGTTTGGTTCTCAATGGTCAGGCAGTCACACTTTCCCAAGGGCATGGAGGCGTCTGGGGCTTTGGTACCGTCACATCTGTTGCAGTTTGTACAGATGTGAGCTGTCAGCCCACCTTGCTGCTGTTGGTGCTGTACCTGCACCAGAAAACAAAACTTAAATACAAGATGCGTTGCTTTTTTCCATATAGTCTCAAGTAGCAGCAGCAACTACTTTGGCAAAGGCTACTTTGTTCTGACAGCTTCAAATAGGTCAGTGCTCAGCCAGAAACCTCTCAAAGCCAGCATGGGAAAATGCCTATCTGACATAGGCATCCCTTCCCAGGAAGTCCCTGGTGGACTCCCCACGGGCCTGTGCTCCTCTTGCAGTGCTGGGCAGCACTCAGAGGTGTTTTGGAAAGCAGCCCCCTGACTGCTGTTTCTCGTCTGTATTTATTGTTCAAAGGCTGCAATTACTTTCCCTTCTCCCTTTTAGCTGCTGCTGAAGCTTTGTTGCCTACATAGTAAGAAAGGCAGTGGTGAGCACTAGCAGGTGTTTTGCATCCTCAGCGCATTCAGCAGTGAGCGTTTGCTGCTCTCGTGCCGTGTTGTGCATGGCCTGCAACTCCAGCCCTGCCTTTCCTTTTGCTCTAATTGCTTTGAACAATGTATGGAGAGTGGGCTGTCGTTTTAGGCCTGGTCCCTGCTTTGGTGGGGGAAGGCAGCAGTGCCCCTTGCTGGGCTGTGGGGCTGCAGTGGGAGCGTGTGCTGGCAGTGGGTCATTGCCAACTGATAGGGGCTCCCATCTATGTTTAAGAGAATGTGCCTGGTGTACTATAAATGTGCAGGTTGGTGGCCCTGCCTGTGGTGGGGGGGTTGGAGATTCATGATCCTTGAGATCCCTTCCAACCCAGGCCATTCTGTGATCTGGGATTCTGTTTATATGGATGATAAGGGGGCTGACTGTTATGCTAGGTTACGTAGAAAGTATGTCTCTGTGCTGCAGGATATAAAGCAATTTAAGGAAAAAAAAAACACAACAACAACACAAAAACAACCATTTGAAAGACATAATGCTGCCATGGTTCTTTGGAACAAAGGTAGAGAGAAAAAAATCAGAGCTTTGTAGAGAGAAAGATGCGTATCTTCAGTCTGTTGCTAGAAATGTGATGACTTAGGAATGATTTGTTCATAGAATCACAGAAGATTTCAGGTTGGAAAGGCTGCCTTTGGCTCTGCACACACTGAAGCACGTGGCACGCCGTGCTCAGCTTGCTGGGTGGAAGGGGTGGAAGGAGCCCACACACTGCAGGTCATGCCTTATTCCTCCCAACACACTGTTACGTTCTGCTTCATTGTGCTGGTTTGCCTTCATAGCATTGCACAGCCTTTGTGTTGCCCTGCTGGAGTAGCTTTTAATAGTGTGATTTTGCCACTTTTCTGCTCTTGAAGAAAAGAATGGTGCTGCGTGCGAGTGGCAGCGCGCAGCAGGGAGGGAAGTGCTGCACAATGATGCTGCGTTTACAGGGAGGGCTGGCTCTAACCAAGCTCTGTGATACCTTAATTGTGTCTGATGTGACCTAACCCCTGCCAGCCCTCAGTCTGAGGTTGTCAAACAGGATTTGAAATCTGTAAAGGTGTTTGTACAGTGCTGCGACCGAGCTGGATGTGACTATGTGTGACTCTGTCAGTGAGGAAGCAGAGCAGAAATGGAGAGATTTTCCTTTTCTCCTTTTTTCCTCTTCTCCCCTTCTTTCTTTCTCCCCTTCTTTCTTTCTCCCCTTCTTTCTTTCTCCCCTTCTTTCTTTCTCCCCTTCTTTCTCCCCTTCCTCTTTGGCTAAGGTAAAGCCGTGCATTTCTCCGCTGAGTTCTGCAGAACCTTGTGCTAGAAGCAATGTGTAACAAATAAACCCACAAGGTAGAATTAGGAAACGTGTTTTAAAAGCACTTTCTGTATCTGACTCGGGCTGGGGGTTCTGTTTCTCGGGTTTGTTCTTAGCAATGTGATTTTCCTTTCAGGGCTCAGCAGATTCGTACACAAGCAGACCCTCAGACTCTGATGTGTCTTTGGAAGAGGATAGGGAAGCAATCCGCCAGGAGAGAGAGCAGCAAGCAGCGATACAGCTTGAAAGGGCAAAGGTGCTTTCTCTTAAACTGTAATAGCAACTGGTTGTGGGGCATTTATCATTTGCCTGGTGTTAAGATTCATACCGTTGGTTTATAATGGTGATGGCACCTTTTGAAGTGTGTTGACAATCAAGTGAAATTTCCTGCAAGCAAAACTGGGGGCAATATAGTGTAAGTATTCTTGTATAAATGGGGATCTTCTTTAGGGAACTGAACTTTCTGGGCTTGTGTGAAATTATTAGGTCCGAATTTTGATGTATTTGGCAAATACCCTCCACTAAATTTTTGGCAGTTTGATACAGAAAATGAATTCCTGATTCAGAAAAGTTTCCACTGTTCATGATGTCTGTTTCTGTTTGCAGTCCAAACCAGTAGCATTTGCTGTTAAGACCAATGTGAGTTACTGTGGAGCTCTGGATGAAGATGTCCCTGTCCCAAGCACTGCCATCTCTTTCGATGCAAAGGACTTCCTACACATTAAAGAGGTAAAAACAATTAAAGAGGTGTAGCAATTATTCCCTTTAAGAAGCCAGGGGCTGCAGTTGGAGCAGTCATGTCTGAACTGAACTGGAGAAAACTGAAAACTGAGAACCAAGCAGGAACAGGAGAGTGCAGCCCATGGGATTAGTGGTGCTGGGGTGACACTTCATTCTTTCCACAGTTGAAATCAAGTTTGTGATGGATCTGATGTAACACAAAGGGGTTCTGTTGGTCAGGGCGTTAACTAGCAGCAGTTTACACCTGGTATTTGTGGAAGGCTTGTAGGGGAACGAGGCAGTATAATAGAAGAATAAAAGAAAATGCTGACGAGGCTGCAGGACAAAAATATGTTAAAATAAGGAAAAAGGAATGGGAATAAACAAGCCCTGAATATGGCTTTTGTAGAGGAAAATACTTTTATTGCATGTTGAGCATATTTTCTGCAATTAGTTATCTGAAGTGAGCCCTTCAAATTTGCATAAACTCCTGTTGTTTTGTAGATTTGTTCTTAGACTTGCAGCTTGCAAATATGTTTTTTTTTTAATCTCTGTGTTCTGTGTGTTTATTTTTGGGTGTTCAGTACTAATTTTTCCCTTTCTTTGAACATTAGCCCATCACTGTTTCAAAGCTCTCATCTCCCTGAGTCTGAGCATATTTGGGAGGGAAACACCTGCTGCTTCATCTCTGGAGACAGAGATTGGTGGTAGAATGGGGGAGTTGTGCTTGAGGTTCTTTGTCCCTGGGCACAGGAGAGGCAGTTGATTTGCATGTTCCCTTTTCTAAGTTTGCTGGAAACAGATGGAAGTTTGATTTTTTTTAAAAAAAGCATTATTTTATTTTTAGTTGGTTTCATTGTCTTGTTTAGTGTGTTTGTTTTTTATAATATATTGGTGTGGAACAGTCTTTAAGCCCATGCTGAGGAAGCAGAGCACTGTGAAGTCTGACTCTGCCCCTCTTTCTGTAGGGTTGCTTGTCCCCCTGTGCTGCATGCCCAGGAATGTCCTCCTTTCTGTCTGGCACCACACCTGAGCTCTCCTTCCTGAACACACCTTGAAACCTTCTCCCATCAGGAAAATGTCCTTTGCTGCGCTCAGAGCAGAGTTGGCTGCAAACAGCTGCACTCATTACAGCAGAGATCACTTCTCAGCTGCCTTCCCTGACATGTTCCCTTTCACACCAGGAGTGTACCGTACCTGGTGTGCTGTCTTTCTAGTTTGCACGTTGCAGCTGTTCAGTAGCTCTGTGCATCAGCATTAGCACAGTATTTGCTCTTGGTTTCCCAGCATCTGGCTGCATTCACTGTCCAGCCTTGAATGTGCTAAGCTCCTGTTTGTGCTGCCCTGGACATTTTTCCTGAGTAGTGTCACAAGTCCATGTTATGGCTTTCTGTGAGCACTCCTCTGAGATGCAAATGGCCAGGATCACACTCCCTCCACACATAAACCATCTGGCTCACAGGTGTTCACTTGCTCTGCTAGGGGTTCAGCATTTCTTTGTTAATGCTGAAGCCTTCAGCCTGCCTGAAGCTGTAACTCAGTACAATTTGGGGAATGGTTCATGGAAAAAGGCTTTGTAGAATTCATTTTTCAGTGATCTGCTGGGTTTGCCTGGACAGGAATAACCATGATCTAGATTAGATCCAGATTTTAGAATGACTCCAAACTAGGTAGAAGTCAGGTTGCCCCGCTGACAAGATGAAACATCAGCAGTAACTGATGAGTTGCTATATTGAGAGTGTGTCCTGTATGTCTCCTGTGTCTCCTACAAGACTGTACGTTAGGTGCTTACTTCAGAGAAGTGCAGCAGTTACTGACAATATGGAAGAAATCATGGGCATGGCAACCAGTAGGAATGAATTGTAGTCCTCCCACATGCTGAATGCAGAGAATAGCTTATGGGAGGTAATGACCTAATGCAAATAGCCCTGCTTCCCTTACTGCATTGTTATCAGTTGTACTGTTCAGTTATTCTCAGCATAACCCTGATTCTGATCTCTTGTCTAGAGGTGTCATTCAGAACTCCACGTCCTGCTGGTAGAAGAAAAGTTCCCATGTTCAAGCCACACATTTAGAACCAAAATCAAATAGTTAATCCTCAGAGGGCTCTGATTTGAGAGTCATGCCATCAGAGAGTGGTTTGGGTTAGAAGGGCCTTAAAGCCCATCCAGTTCCATCCCCCTGCCATGGGCAGGGATGCCTCCCACTGGTCCAGGTTGTCCAGAGCCCCCTCCAGCCTGGTTTAAACCTGTTCATCAGAATCAGCTCATGCTCCTTGCATCACCATCACCCTCAGCCCCATAGTTGTGATGTCAGAGGAGGAGTCACAGCAAGATGTTTTGGAGCAGTTAGAAGACAGTTACCTTCATTGAAACTTACTCAAACTGTCTGCTGTTCAGACTTCAGTTTGAGCCCTGTTTTTTCAGCTGGTATGAAGTTAAGGATTGCAGATAAGATAATAGGGAGTTCTGGACACGAAGCAAGGCCAGAAACCTTTCTGTGTTCCAGAAATACAATAATGACTGGTGGATAGGGAGGCTGGTGAAGGAGGGCTGCGAAATTGGTTTCATTCCAAGCCCGCTCAGACTGGAGAATATCCGCATCCAGCAGGAGCAGAAGAGAGGACGTTTCCATGGAGGGTAAGGATGCTGTAACCTTTTAAAATAATTTAAAATCTTTTCTGACTCTGGACAATATCTTTCAAAGGTCACTTGATTCTTTTTTATTGCATTGTGTATGAATGAGTGTTTGATTTGGGATTCCAAGCGAAAAGATGTGCTTGCAGAGGGTAGGCATATTAGATGTTGGCCGTGAGAAGGAAAAAATGTGTTTTGACTTTAGAAAAGAGAAGTTATACATTATGAGTGGTAACATTAGAAGTTCCTGAAGGGAGAAAGGGTCCCCAGGGGCTCTGAGTCAAACCTTTGGTGCACTCTCATATTGGCAAGACTGTGGGATTTTTCTTTTTTTTTTTTTTTCCCTCTCCATTTTTGCCCAAACCAGACTTTTCAGATGTCACAGAGATGAGTTTTGCCATTCGACTTCCTTTCCTCTTCATCTTCCAACCTGGCCCTTCTACCTCTCCACACTGCTGCACCTGGAGATAGCAAGGCCTGGGAGAATACAGGCTTGTGTGCAGGACTGGGGAGTAAAACTGATTGCTCCTGGTCTCAGCTTGGGTATTGAAGTATCTCTCTTCTGTAGGCTGAATAATGGCTAACTCTTTTCTCTTAGGAGGGGGGGGGATTATTTTGCTATTCCCACTAATGGAAATTGAAACGTGAATGTTCACGTAGATAAGGAGAACAAAAAACTGTAATGGAGGAGGGAAAAGAAAGGTGAGCCAAGTGATTCTGGGCCTGATAGTGAGCAGAAAGGGAAGCATGATTTCACCTGTGTAGCACTGTCAGGGAATTAATACAGTGAATCAAGGTTGGGAATCGTCTCCAGTGTAAGCCATCTAAGGATGTGTTTTTTGGAGTGATTGAGCAGCACGAACTGAGCTTTATTTCACATTGATTTTACAGTTTCTGAAAGGGGTTCACAGAAACCAGTGTATCTCAGTGCATGGAAGGAGGGGAATCACATGCAGGAGCTGCTCAGGATAGTGGTTCATTTATAACATATTAGCTGAAGAGTTCTCTGCTTGTGTGAGTGGACTTGACTCCACTGCAACAATCTAATCTCACCTGCAGAGAATACTGGGAATAAAACCCAGTCTAAAACAGGAGAAATATTGTAAAATAGGACAGTATTAAGATTTTACATAGCAAACAGACCCAGAAGTGTTAATACAGACTGAACCTAAAGAGGTTTTTATGTCTTTGAACGACGGGAACTGCTGCTGTTTACAATATCCCAGTGTTACAGCAGTGTCCAGGAGATGCATGGAGTGGTTTTGCCATCAAACAGTCCCTGCTCCAGAGAGAGCTGGCAGGATAGTGAGGGCAGAACACTGCTTTGGCCTCACATCCCCTTGCTGGTCAGTCTGCATGGCTAAGAACACTAAATACTCTTTCTGATATTGCAGGAAATCAAGTGGAAATTCTTCTTCAAGTCTTGGAGAAATGGTTTCTGGCACGTTTCGAGCCACACCTACATCTACAGGTAAGGGGAATTTTATTTAAGGCAACTCTTGCTATTTCTGTTACTTCTATTTTAAAAGTCACGTCTGAAAAGTGTGGGTTTTCCCCCTTTGCATTATTAAGATGTTCTGCTGAAAGTACATGTGCAGAGGTGGAGAAAGACATCTATTTCCAGACATGCAGTAGTTGCTAAGGGACTGGGAGTAAAAAGCCTCAGGAAGAAGGGCAACTCTGCCCAGAACAGAACGAGTGACCAATATAGGTAGAGCTGATGGAAAGCAAGGAGTGTGGAGTGAAAGGAAAGGAGCACTGAGAGTGGGGTTTTGCTTGCAAGCGTTACGGTTGCTATGCACAGTGTGTGTTTAACCAAGTTCTTATTTGGTCTTTTAGCAAAACAGAAACAAAAAGTGGTAAGTACCCCTTCTGCTTTCATTCTATATTCCTTATTTTGAATGCATAATTCCCAGATTTTTCATTTTGATTAGTGATCTGAAGGAATGCTTTCCTCTTCCAGACAGAACACGTCCCCCCATATGATGTGGTGCCATCTATGAGGCCCGTTGTCTTAGTGGGGCCGTCGCTGAAAGGCTATGAGGTATGTATCCCAGTGTTTGCAGGGAGTTCCCATTTTCTTGCCCATGGTTTCCCTTGGTGCATTTGGTGTTTTGGCCTTATTAGCCAACCAGACGTCCGTACACATACACAATTTTAGTCAAACTAGCACATGCTTTGAGCTGAATTAATCCAAATTTAGAAGAGATTTCCCCTGTAAGGTAATTGTGAAGTTTTCACTTGTGAAAACTTCACGTCTTCCCACAAAGCTCAGTGCTGGCAAGCAAAATAGCTGGGCTGTGGTAGCACATTCACGTCTGTTCTGCAGCACCTGAAACTAAACATGGGCACCAGTGAATGTCATTTCAGTGTGTTTTCTTCATGTTTGTTTTCTCAAGAACACTGCAGTATTGAAATATAAGGAAACCTTTAGCCCTTCTAAATTATTTGCCTCTCTGCAACGTGGAGGTGGGTGTGATAACAGGTACAGATAAACAGGAGGCCCATTTGTCAAGGTTGCTGCAGATTCAAAAGAGCATTTAGCACATGCTGAACGACCAGCGGCTTTTAGCAGGGCCTGTCAGTGAACTTATCCATCTGTTAAGTGCTTTGCCAAATTAAGATCTAAATTAACATGAACATAAAATCAAGGATACGCTTCATTTAGCTTAATTAATGCTGTTAGTACTTTATAGGATATTATTAAACATCGGAATGGCTCTTTTCAGAAGGTTGCAGCAGGGTAATGTTAGCATAATGTGATGTTCTTACATCAATTTTTTTTGGTAAGAATGATTAGAAGTGTAGTTTAGTGAAGCAGGAATGAGGCACTTCATTTTCATCTGCCTTTTAATTTTACGGTGGTGTTTCGTGACAGGAGTAAATGTCACCCATTGGTTTTGATGGTGCTCCACCACAGCTTAATTTGTCTGGGCACTCAAGTTTGGTGGGGAGAGGAGCCATCTGTTGAGTGCATACCTCTGCACAAGTGTGTTCCCCCTCTTTGTGTTAGAAAATAATACTAAATCCGACATCTTGAACATATAAAGATGTATAAATGGTACTGCAGTTAGGGTGTTTTGATCCCAATTTTGTTCTACACAACAGAAACACATTGCTCTTACTTTGCAACCTGTATGGAAAAATTCAGCGGTATTTTTTCTGACTAAATTCTCTGAGAAGCACTTTGAAGGTAACCTGGGAGAATTAAACTGCCAAAGACCTGGGGCTTTGCTGCAGTTCCTATCTAAGTGTCAGTAGAGCTGTACTGAAAGGAACAGTCAGGAAAGCAAACGATGTCTGTTGGGGCTGAACATCTCTCAGATGCTCTCCCTGTTACAGGAGTGGAAACATGTTTTTTCCTCCTTGTAGGCCTCTAGGAGATTAGTTTTGCTCTTACAGCAGTCATCTGACATAACAGATCTTGTATCTGAAGTCTTAGACCAGTATTAATAACATTACTGTGGGGAAAAAGCAAAGGATTTGTTCAACCCAAAGTCCCATGTGGTTCTGACATGTGCTGAGTCCTGCTGGGAATGGCATTGCTTTGGGAGGTGATGAGGTGTGCTCCAGTGCCTCAGAGCAGATGGAGGCAGGAGCAGAGCAACAGCTCTGATGTCCTTTGGGCCACATTTTGTGGGTGAGTCAGAAAACCTGCAAGTGTTTGTAACAAAGCTGCTTCCAAGGGCATGTTAATTAAATGATTGCTGCCTACAAAAGGTATTGATTGTTGGCAGTATCCTTACCTTTTGCTTACCTCTCTTCTGACTTTTGACTTCTCTTTCTCCCTGTCATTCCTCTCTGCTCAATCTTCCTCACCTCTGCGAAGGTGACAGACATGATGCAGAAAGCTCTCTTTGACTTCCTGAAGCACAGGTTTGATGGGAGGTGAGAAAGCTGTCCTTTCCATGCTTTTTTTCCACGTGTTACTAACGATTTGGTGATATTTTTTTTAATGAAAGGAGACCGTGGTGCATGTTCCAAACTGATTTATAGTATCAGCAGCAAAGTGCAGCTGGCTGTGGGTTGAAGCACAGCTGATACATCACTAGGTGTGCATGTGTCTTTGTATCTGCTATGTCCATAGTAGGATTTCTTCATTTAAGTGAATCATTCTGCCTCAGTGTCTCATAAGAGTAGGGCTGCAGGAGAAATCTAGATGAAAGGTGACTGGAGCACGTGGGAAAGTGCCAGGATAGCTTTGAAGGTGGCATTTCCAGGCTTGGGTATTCAGCGTTGCAGTGGGGGAAGCATGCAGTGCCAGTACAGCTGGGAGTGTTGGGGAGCAGTGCCAACCTGTGAATAACTCTTTGGGCAGAGCTCAGCTCCTGGTTGTAGTTCCAGGCTCCTGTCCAGCAGGATGCACTTCAAATTAAACTACTTGCACCCAAGCCCTGCAAGTACCATGTTGAAATGTGCAGAAACAGCCCATTTAACTGGAGATAGTGACGATGCTTCAGGCCAGCATCTGCAAGAATTGAATTCTTGACTATTGTTAGTAATCAGAAATAATTAAAGCTTGAAGAGGGAAATGCTGAGCACTGAGATACACAAAAAGGTGTTTTATAACTTCAGCTGGAGCAAGAAGAATATTTCCTGAAGAGCTGCGATGGGGAACAAGTTTGTGCATTTCCTCATAAGGAGGAGAGGGTGGGTCCATGGCGTCCCTTCCTCACCCCTGGAGCTCACCCATGGGTGCAGATCTGTGCTCTGCCATTGGGATATTTGGCCCTTCTTTCACCATAGTGTGTTCAGCATGTTGTACCTGCATAGCAGGGTGCTTGTGCTGCACTAGTTTAGCTGCATCACGTTTGTGACAGCAAGGAAAGTTTGTAAAGCCTAAAGCATTGGCACTAAGGTGATGAAAAAAAGTTTCCATTGTTTAGAAGAGGTGGAATAGGATTTATGTTCAAAGCACCTTTTGGGGCGCGACACAGAGGTGGTGATGCTGAAATAACTCACACACAGCTTAAACAGAGCTTTTAATAATCAACCTTTGTGCAAAATGTTTGTTCCCTGCTCCTGATAGCTCAGCTGAAGTTGGTTTTAACACGTTGCACAAAAGCAGTGATCGATTCCAGGTCTGACAGTTGAAGCAGTGACTCTGGCAGCCCTCAGCGCTGTTTGCTGTGTTTGTTGCATGCTGTCAGGACACCCTCTCCCACTCCTGAGCAGTTTGACTGATGTGGTTTCGCTGCAGCTCAGCACAGGAGCTCTGGTGCACGTTTCCATCAGGGCAGATGCAGAACTGCTGCGTGTGTTCCCTCCAGCTGCTGCCACACACCTGTCAGTTTGCAGAGTGCCTCTGGTAACTGACAGTCATTGCTTCTGGTGGGAAACCATGGCAATGGGATGCGATAAGTCGAGTCACCAGGACGTGACTGCTCTGCAGTGTCTTTTTAAACCATATTTGAGAGCCTGCTCAGCAGAGGCTGACCCACAAGGGTCAGCAGTGCCTTGGTGTGGGACATGAAGATGTAGTGCTGCCCAGCAGTGCTGCCAAGGGGAACAGTACCTTGTGCTGCTGTGTTCTCACTGCTCTCCTGCCTGGAGTGAGGTGGTGCTGGGAAGCCTTCCTGCTGTGAGACACGTTGGCAACTAAATTAGGCAGACACGTGGCATTTCAGCTATGAAAAAGTTCAGTGCTGCATACAAACTGATTGACTTTAAATTTGAATCACTTAAGAAAAATCAATAAAATTCATTCTTTGGAACCTCAGCCGCTGCTTGCTCCTCCTGTCTTATGTTGTGTGCAGTGGTTGCTGGTCATTTCCAGCCTATTTTCTTCTTGTTACTCATGGTTCTTTAGCTCATCACAGTCCTTCTCACTGGATTTTACATGAGATTGTGTGCTCCGACCTGGAGCCAAGTCCCTGAGCCCCCTGCACAGCCCTGTCTGGACAAGAAGCTGTGTGCTGGAGGTCTCCCAGAGCCAGCAGCTCCGTTTGGTGACTCAGATGTGAGTGGCAAAGTCCAAATAAGGCCCTTCCCTACCTGCTGGCAGTGCCAGCTTTGGTTATGCCACCTGGGAGGAGTGCTGCTGTGCTCTGTGCCCTGAGACTTGCTTTAGCTTGTGTTAACCAGGTATTGTGTAAATCCACGTGGGTGGTGGGATGGAGAGACGTGAGCTGATTAAGCAGAAAAGCAGGAGCTGTGTGAAGGGTCTGCAGTAGCAAATAATTGTACAATTACTCAGCATTCCTCTTTAGCTGTTCTCTGATGCTATGAGTGGTGTTTTATTGGATTTGCACTTTGGAATGAAATGTGGTTGTAAATCATGCGTGGCACAGGAAAAAAGTAACGACTGTGGATTTGTTTTGTGCTGTGTTCTTGCCCGTAGGATATCAATAACCCGGGTGACAGCTGACATTTCTCTTGCTAAGAGGTCTGTTCTGAATAACCCGAGCAAGAGGGCAATAATCGAGCGGTCAAACACACGATCCAGTTTAGGTAAGACATGGACACAGCTGTAACTCTGATCGTGGCTGCACTGTCACCAGTTCTGAATGCATCTACAGCATTTTAGTGTGTAATTCTGTATTTCACGTCCTCTGATGGGTGATGGAATTTGCCTGACAGAAAAGTGGCACAGAGCACAGTGTGTTGAGTTAGCACCCCATGGAGCAACGCCTGGGCTGGAGCAAGCAGGATTACAGCTACTGTAACTATTCAGCCTGTGCTGACTTTATCAATTTAAACTTACTGACATGCATGGGCATGGTTGAGAAAGGTCAGATTCATCATCTTTCTAGTTCTGATGTGTTCCTTCCTTTTACTGCAGACAAAAGTGCTTTGGTGGAACGTTGCCACTGGTGTCTTCTTAAATAATACCCAGACAGGATTTATCATAAACATATCTTTGTGCTTTTGGGATTGGATGGTCACAGTTCTGCTCTTCATACAGATTCTTGTTGGAGTTAAATCAGAGCTACAGTTTGCAAACAAAAAAAGTCCTAAGAAGTATAAATATATTACTGTCAAAAATACATATCTTATGACTCCTGAAATATTTTGCAGATCTGAAAAATATGCCTGAACTTATTTTGAATTAATAGAAAGATATGTTTAATTGTAGTGTGTATATAGTGTTTTCAGACAATGGAATTGCCTCAAAGGTAACATTAATTTAAAAAATCCTGAGTAATAGATTATTGTGTGAAAATTACATGAATTCACGTATGGAATTCATCTACAGAATGTATAGAGTTCATGAAACTAATGGGTGATGGTATTTTCCATGTGGCTCTGGGCAGCCTGGTCTGGTGGTTGGTGATCCTGCACGTAGCAGGAGGGTTGAAACTGGATCATTGTGGTCCTTTTCAACCCAGGCCATTCTAGGATTTTTGTGTAAGTAGCACGGGGTTGAATGGCTTTCAATTGCTTTATTTTCCTCCTCTAGCTGAAGTGCAGAGTGAGATTGAAAGAATCTTTGAGCTGGCCCGGTCCTTGCAGCTGGTTGTCCTGGATGCAGACACTATCAATCACCCTGCACAACTTATCAAGACATCTCTAGCACCAATTATTGTCCATGTTAAAGTGTCTTCTCCAAAGGTAATGTATCTCACCCTCAAAGTATTTGCATTTGAGTTTTTAAACATCTGCATGGCATTCAAGTATGCAGGATAGGATGTTTTACTCTTCCAACAATCACAGCAGTACAGTGCTTGAGGTTGAAAGATCCTTCTGGAGCTCTGTCACCACCCTTAATGCAGTACAAGTGTGTCGAAAGATGACTAATGTCTGTCATGTATTGTTCACTTCTTTCCTCCCATTCTCTCCCTGGAGAGGACAGAGTTGGTCACGTAGCTCTATTTCTTTAAAGCTGCCATTTACGTTGCAGCTAATCCTGCGTTTGGCATGTTGTTCATGAAGATGCCAGTCAGCATTTTACAGTCACCGTTTTCCCCTGAAGCAGGTGTTGATTATCCCCATTTTATCCTTTTGTGTGAAGAGGCCACTTAAAGAGAAGGATGGGTTCAGTCCTTGGCACCATGTGCTGCTGCCCACAGTGATGAAAGTTTTCAGGATGACTTGTAAGTTCTTTATGGGAGAAAATAGAGTTATGTCACAGAAGACAGAAAATAATTAAATCACTTGTGTTTTCTAAGACAGTTATCTTTGCTACACAGGATAAGATTCAGCACAAACTGAATGCAGCATTAGAGCAGCCTAATTGTATTAGCACAGCATTTCACTTGACCTAACTTACCCTTCTGAAGCAGAGCTTGCTAATGCAGCAGTGCTTCCCAGCTTGTTGGAGCTGGAGTGAGGACTGGGGGAGAAGATACCCTCATGGTGATGCTCTGGGTCACAGCACTGTTCCCTTCTGGCTTTGGTTTTTGCAGCTGTCTCTCAGCTGAGCTCCTCACAGCTTCATTGCTCCCTGTAGCAGCAGTGTGACACTGCTCAGCAAGCTGGCTGGGCAGCAGTAGCCAAAGAAGGCTTAAGACACAAGGGAGTGGATAAATGGCTTGTGTTTGGGTTTGGGTATATAGACAGGGCACTGCACTGTGATGAGTGGATATACCCTGCCCCTGTCTGTATGCCCACGCTGTAAGAGAAGATGCATTTTAAAATGCTTTTAAAGCTCAGTTTGTATTGACTGAATTCAATTTGGTTACTATCCAAAGGAATTCCATTAGGGCTGAGAAGTTTCAGAGATGTCTGCCATGTGTAGTGAGCTTGATGGAACTCCTGCAGAGTTCATGTTATTAGAAGACGACTTTTTTGGTATAGAAAACCCTTTTTGAACTGTTCTCTCTCAACCCTTGCTACTGGCTCTCTGCAAAGCTCCTCACGTCTCTACGTGATCTTACCAAGCCTATACTGAGCCTGGGTAACTGGAATTTGCTCATTCCCAGCTGGGCTTGTTGAGCTCAGTACAGATGAGTAGCACTGCTGGCATGTCTGGAGGAGGGTCACATCCCACAGGACTGATGGCTAAGGCTGGGGAAGGGAGGAAAGAAAACAAATCTTCATGTAAGTGTAGGTGTATAGGAAGAAAACATCTGCCTTCACCTTGTATTTCATGTATTCCTTTTGATCGTGCCTTTTTTTGACCACTGAAGTAACTTCCATTTTATTTTTTTCTGGTAATAATGACTATTTGAGAAGCTTGTATACAGAAAAATCTGTCTCAGATTTTCCCTGTCTTTCCAGGTAAGTAGGAAGCAGAGGGAGATCTTGTTGCCTAAGAATAAACAAACTCTTCACAGTGAATATTACATGAATTGCAGCATGCTGTTAGATAGGGCCCAGCAGGAAATGACACCTGACCAACCTGGCTGCCTGTTGGACAGCCTATGCCTATGGGACATAGAAGGAGCAGTGGGTGTTGCTGGCCTTATAGCAAGGCTTTGATGCAGTCTCCTGTAGGCAAATTGCTGAGATACGCACTGGATGAATATGAATTATCAAAAGGGTTTAAGACTGAGCAGACTTCTGGGTGCAGGGTGCAAAGTCTCACTGTTCCTGGTTATCAGGGGTCACCTGGGGGTCCATAGTGGGGCAGCACAGCTCAGTGTCTTTGTTAACGACCTGGCTGATGAGTGCAGTGCACTTTGAGTACACGTTTGAGGAAATGCCGAAGACTGGGGCAGGTTAATGTGCCAGAGGGTAGGGCTGACATTTAGGGGGACCTTGGTAGGCTTCCACCAACATCCTGAAGTTCTTCAGAGGGAAATGCCAAGTTCTGCCCCTGGGCTGGTGTGAGCCCCTGCTAACTGGGGCAGTTGTGCAGGCAGGGACGTGGGCTTCTGGCAGGCAGTGTGGGCACGAGGGAGCAGTGTGCCCATGCAGCAGAGACATGGCTGTGTGCTGGGCTGTGTGAGCACGTGCTTGGTCCTGGCCCACAGGGGTTACCCCAGAACTCAGCTGGACAAGGAGCTGAGCACTGTGATCCAGTGAGGGTTTGGCACAGAGACCTCTAGAGGTCCTTCCAGCTTCAGCAATACTCTGTTCTGTGATTCTTTAATTTTCTTTCAGACTTCAGAGGGAAATCCTTTAAATTCTCTAACTGTTTTGACCCTGAAATTCTAATAGTGGAAGAAGCAAACAGAGGAATTTATGAACTGTGCATGTAACATTCCTTCTGTACCCAGAGCATTCCTTGGAACAGATGCAGTCACAGCATTATTGCTACACAATATAACGTGCTCCTACTGCTGTGCTGCAGTCAGGCCTCTGTCATTCTCTGTGTGTATATTTACATTTTGTGCTCTTCTAGAACATGACATTGGTCACAAATAGCCTGTCACTGAAAGTAAACAAAGCCAAATTGCCGTTTCCATTGCTATTGAAATATTTGCTAGGCATTGAATGTGGTGCAGAAGGAAACGCCCAGCTCTCAGGGAGGCTCTCAGCAAGGTTTATGTTTCTGTTCAGGGAGAATATTTTGTCCATTTTGTTAAATGTAATATAGAGCTTCTGAAATTGGTAATCCTCCAGTGCAGTGTCAGTCTCTGAGCTTTATGGACGTGATTCTTAAACTCACCTTTTCCTCTTTTCCTCTATCAGGTTTTGCAGCGACTGATTAAATCTAGAGGAAAGTCACAAAGTAAACACTTGAATGTTCAGTTGGTGGCAGCTGATAAACTTGCACAATGCCCACCAGTAAGTACAGAAGAAAGGCTAAAAAACTTGTGATGTGTGGAGTCTGAAAGATTTCTGCTGTCTCCGTCCTTTATTATAGCAGAGTTCAAATGTTATCACTTCCCTTTGTGGACAGCCCTACCACTGCAACCCTCGCTCAGCTTTTGTTGCTGAGGAAGAAAAAAGTGTGGTACTTTCTTCCTGACTGCCTCCAAAGCCGGGTTTGTTTTGCTCTTTGGCCAGACGACAGGTCAGAAATGACGTGTATGGTAAAACTGATCTTCCAGCAGCACACGAGGAAATTACATCACTTGTGGAGCAGTGCTGTCTTAAGGGCCAAAGTCTCAGAGTCGTGTTTGGGAGGAGGCTGCAGGGGACTTTCCTTCAGCCATGCAGCGAGTTCCTGCACAGCGTGAGGCACTTGTGGCTGCACACACGCCATCCCTGAGCCTCCTGGCACTGCAGCATCTGGGAACCCTTCCAGGTGCTTTATCTGGAAGCCTGGTCGCTGCTCAGGGCCATTGTATCACAGGTGCTGATACTCGCCTCAATCAGTGTGCTTCTAAAGGAGCTCAGGTCTGAGATACTGGGTTAGGCAGGCAGTGCTGTGCAGACAAACTGTACAGGAGTTTGGACAGGGCAGCTCAGACTTGCCTGTATTTGTGAAAGCCATCAGTTCCTGTGACAGAGGCAGCTGTTAAGTACAGACATGCTTAGATGAGGGCTTGCTTTCTGAAAAGCACCATTTCCTACTGAAACTGCAAGGGAGCTCCAGATAAGTTTGCTCAGTAGCACCAACCAGATGGAAATGGAGGAACAGTTTACACAGGTCTGTCAGAAGACTTAATGTTGGGAGTTTTGCACAATGTTTTGGTGTGTGTTCAGGCTGGAGGTGTTAGAAAGCAAGGAAAAAGGTGATAGGCTTGACTGAAACTTGTCTTTGTCTGAAAAATGAATGGATTAATAACACGTCCAGGATAAGACAGATCTGATTCAGATTCCTCCTTTACCTGAAATTCAAATATTGTAGAAAAGTACTGGTGATATTTGTGGAACATATCTTGATTTCTGCTGCCAAATGTGCTGTTTGCAGTGCTCACTGTGCCCAGACTGCACACTCTGAGCCTGTCAGCTCTGCATTTAGAAGCCTTCCTCCTTGCCAGTGTCCACTATCAGAAATGGAAGCTGGTGACTGCACATATACGTGCAGCTGCTTGTGCTGTTGAGCCAGCCAGCAAGTTGAATGCAGCTTTGAAGCATCTGACTCCTTGTGTGTGTTCTGCATATACCCCCAAGCTTTTGTCCAGGGTTTCCTAAATGGGATATCATAGAATCATAGAACGGCCTGGGTTGAAAAGAACCACGATGCTCATCCAGTCCCAACCCCCTGCTAAGTGCAGGGTCGCCAACCAGCAGCCCAGGCTGCCCAGAGCCACATCCAGCCTGGCCTTGAATGCCTGCAGGGATGGGGCAAGGCATCTCACCGAGGAGCCCTGCATGCTATTGAGACTTGTTTCTGCTCTCTGCCAAGCACAGTGTCACTCTCCAAGCTTCTGGCTACAGTAACTGTAGGTTGTTTGCTGCCTCATCCTTGTCTTCCACTTGGAGCAGCGCTGAAAGATGTCAGAGCTACCTCCAGTTCTGCAGAAGTCAGCAATATTGTGTTTCTCACACACAGTTTACACTGAATTGTTATGTCTGAAAAGGACAACAGGGAATTCCTGGGAGCCACACAGGTCCAATCAACTTAAACAGTATTGTATGCTTTCCTGTAGTACAAAACAAGTTGTGTGGAAGTGTCTGCCTTCCTCACTTGCAGTGGATACAAGCCAATTGAATGGAGTTGCACCTGCATCTGTTTGAACACAGCTGGTGCTACTGACACTGAGCCATCCGTGCAAGCTTGCACACAGCACATTATTTTTCATTCTTCACATCTTGAAAGGTGCATTTATTCTTCCACCTGCGCAGAGAAGCTTGCGTGTGTTCCACAGCCTCAACTGCTCTTTCATTCACTCACTTCCTCTCATTCCGCTCTGCTTTGTGCACACCCGTTGAAATGAAGCAGTGGCTGTGTTATTGAAGCACATTGTGCACCGTGTTGTGTGAGCTGTAGCTGGTTTGTTGCATCACAGCACTGGGGTTGTGCATCTCAGGATCCAGTAAACTCTGCCTTAATCCTGGATGCTGCAGGACAACAAAGGAAGACCCTGCCTGAATAAGAGAAGTGTTTCCAATTTTCTGAGTTGCCTGCACCGTGCCTGCTGCTCTTACGGGTGATCCCATAGCCCCAGCTGGCAATTGGGAAGAAAAGAATAGGGTCTGGAATCTTTTGTGTAGTTTAGGATGAGTGTTTTCCTTAATTAAGCAGTGTGGTTTTGTTTTTTTTTTTTAAAGCAGCATTTGAATTATCTGGAAAAATCTTCTGGCAGTGATACTGCTATGGAATCTAACGTGGGTTATTTTGGTATTGCCCACGGGCTGTGTTGAAGCCAGCAGGGCTTTCCCAGGCAGTGTGCAGTGCTGGCAGGAAGTGTTGGTTTGTGCTCGTGAGCAACTAGGTTTGATTGAGTTTAATTTAAAGGGCCGAGTTGATCCATGGTTTAATTAAGTACACTGCTAAGACCAAAGAGTTGCTGTCTGTCTTCTGCACCAGGCCCTGCTCTGTTTGCAGGCTGGATTCCTGCAGCGTTTGTTTGAAGTGAAGATACTTGTGAGCCATAAAAGCCACAGTCTGTTTCGTGTGCTGCAAGGCAGTCTTAAGCAATCAGGTGGTGCTGTATTGTCTAGACATTATAAAAATAGCTTTCTTTCTTAAGTTCAGGAACTGCTTTCATTATTAATTCCTTGCTAATCTTTCACTCTGACCATGGCTGCTGCTGCATGACTCCGTTAAGCAGAAATGTGGCTCAAAGAAATGTGAACTGCACTAACTGTCTGGCTTTAGGTGTGCTGGTTGTAGGCATCCCATTCTGGTTTCTCTATACTTGAGCTAGTGAACTTGAAGTGTTTTACAGTGTGGCACACTGCTTTCACCAAAACACGGTCACGTATCCCACTGCTGTTATGGTTTTGCTGCATTCTTTTTAATATGCTTTAATTAAAAAAAAAAAACACATTAAAAAATAGAATCATTTTTTTCTACCTTATATACATTAACTATATTATATATTTTATGAGGGCTGCTGTTTTCTTATGTTGGTGGCACAGCAGCAGAGGCAGAACCTTCCTACCAACATCCCATCAGGTGCTGTGGCTGTGTGACAGATGGCAGCACTGGGGCACTGTGACCAAATGGAGTGTGACGTGGAAGTGCAGGTGGAGCAAAGCTGTCATTGAAGTCCTCTGTACAGAAACGTGGCACCTACTGACATTCATCAGTGCTTGTGTTTATAGAGACTGACCTGTGGGTGTGAGCACAGTGAGGGGTTGCTGTATTTCAGCAGTGGTGACAGCAGCAGTGGGTCTGACTTATAAGTGTGGCGTGCCTGTTCTTGTTCTTGTGGCAAAAATGCAGAGCTAATGGTGGTGACTGTATAAAAAATGTTTTATAGCTGAGAATTTGCTCTGTCAAATAGTGTTGTTGTAACAGCTCTTTGTAGCCATTGTTGTTTCAATGGGAATAAATAGGAGGCATTACTTTTGGAGCAACTTACATATATATATATATATATATATATGGACCAAGACAATTCCTCTTCACTCAGCATGGCCCAGGGAAACCCAAAAGTTGGATACCCGTGATTAGGGGATCTTAGCACTGAAAGTGAAAGAGTGTTTTGCACTTGCTGGCAGAGGAGGAAACATTTCTCTACCAACCTGATAAGGAAGAAGAAATCAATATCAGGGTTGTAGTGCTAACTGAAGTTCTGGAGCAGACTTGCAGGTAGGTGCAAGTGAAGGTCTTGCACTTGTGAGTCTTATCCTGGAGACGTCAGCTTAGGACAGGTCTGTGCAAGGCAGAGCAGCATGGTGCGGGCTGTAGCAGTTCCTGCACCACCTGCACTTCTCATTTCCTGTGATGTTTTCACAATAGTTTTTTTTCCACAGAGGTGAGAGAGGTTAAGATCACAGATGAAGTACAGCATTTCACTGCTGAGGATGCATCTATCTTTTTCTTGAGGAGCTCTGTGGTTCTGTATCAGCATTTCATCGCTAGCACTCAGTGCCTGTAGTGTCCTTTGGCTCCTTGGGTATCACAGAGCCTCGTGGCCCCGAATCCCTCTGTGCTCAGAAGGAAATGCCCCTCTGCGATTTTGCAGTGAAAAGGCCTGAGGCAAAATGCCAGGATTTGCTTCAGTAATGATCCTGGGTGAATTGAAAAAGGTGTGACCTGCATGGCCCAGAGGTGCTGAGTGGCACTGCACTGTGCCTGGGCAGAGCCCTGCTCTGCACTGCCATCACTGTGAAGTGCTGTGCTGAGTGTGCCTCACTCCAGAAACGATTTCAACTGAGATGTGAGAGGCAATGTAAAGTGTTCCAGTGTTCCTCTGACAGACTGCTTTAGTTCCTGTCTTCTGTTACGGTGCTTTGAGCAAAATAAACTCTTTGATGGAGTCCTGTGCCTTCAGGCATGCTGGGCCCCACAGTGTCTGGTGAGGCTCACTGAGGGGAAAGCTTTGGCGTTGGGTCACAGAATCACGGAATGGTTGGGTTGGAAGGGACCTCAAGGATCACGAAGCTCCAACCCCCTGCCACACGCAGGGCCACCAACCTCCACATTTCACAGCAGCCCAGGCTGCCCAGGGCCCCATCCAACCTGGCCTTGAACACCTGCAGGGATGGACGGGGCATCCACAGCCTCTGTGGGCAGCTGTTCCAGCACCTCACCACTCTCATAGTAAAGAACTTCCCCCTGACATCCAAGTTGAATCTTCCCTCCTTCAACTTGAAACCATTTCTCCTTGTCCTGCTGTTATCTACCCTTGTAAAGAGTTGATTCCCCTCCCATTTATAGGCTCCCTTTAGGTACTGAAAGGCTGCAGTGAGGTCACCCCTCAGCCTTCTTTTCTCCAGGCTGAACACACCCACCCATGTCACTTTGCTTTGCACTTGCTGTGCTCTGGTTGCTATTTATTTGATTCTAAAGTATTAGCATGATGAGAATTGTTTAACACCTCTCTCACTTCACCCGTAACGTTGTAATGAACCGCGCTTTGTTGTTGTGATCAGGAAATGTTTGATGTAATTTTGGATGAAAACCAGCTCGAAGATGCTTGCGAACACTTGGCAGAATACCTGGAGGCTTACTGGCGTGCTACACACACCACCAGTAGCACACCCATGACTCCTCTTCTTGGCCGAAACTTAGGATCCACTGCACTGTCCCCATACCCTGCTGCGATCTCTGGACTGCAGGTATGAAAATACATTTCAGCCCCAAACAGCAGCGCAGGTCAGGTATTTTGTTATTTTATTTTTAATTCTGGGGGGAAAGTGGTGTACTGTGTTGTGTATAGCATCAGTTTTACTTGCTTCAGTGTCAACTGTTTGGCCACAGCCAGCAAGAATGCAAGCTGGAGGCCCATAGCGCAGACACAGCTGAAGCACTGGGACAGCTCTGACTTAAGTGGGAAATAAAAAGGCTGCACACACTGCTGGCAAGTGGTGTCCCGGCCATATTAAAAAATGGCATTTTTTTAATCTGGAAAAAATGCCATTGCCAGTGGGATGCTCTCAGATTGAGAATACGCTGTGGCACAGCAGTGGAGCTCATGGCTGCTGTAGTTGGGAAGAACAGTTTCTCTAATGTCCCATTTTCTAACTCATAACTTCACAAAGCATTTGCATTTGGGTGATGAACATCCATGCTTGTCTTGTGTCAGCAGAATGCCTTCACCTTTTGAGTTCTTTGAGTGTGAATAATTTCCATTTTTTTACCCATTGAAAAAAATTCTGACCATTTTTCTTCGCAGGGATAGCTCAAAAACGGCTGAACTTTGACACTTCAAACGTGGCATGTAAATAGTCCTTAACGAGAAGTACGTGCTTTACTAAGTTTGAAAACAGAACGTGTTGTTGAAGTAATAGTTGTGAATGCTTGAGAAGATCAGGACCGTAGTGAACTCTCAAGTCTGAGCATTTCAGAAGCTGTTGTGTGTGTGTGTGACTTCATAGGAACGTGCACTTTCTAATGTATGTCGAAAGTAGATTGGGCAAATGAGATTTGATGAATAATTCACCTGACAAATTTAACCTCTGTTCTGCTTGTAGAATGTCTGGAAGCAGGTAACGCTTTTGAAGGAGGTGACTCATGGTTGAGTGTTTCTAATGAAAATGAAGCTATTTTTTCTGTGGGTGAATGGCACTTCATGAAGGTGCATGCTGTTTGGTGCTCACCTTTCTAATGATGTGCTTGATTTTATTAGGCTCAGTAAGCCACTGTTTCCTGACTGGCTGAACGCACAAGCACTGTTCTGTTACTAATAAAGCACACATGTAAAATGTTGTTTCCATTTTCACTTGCCTTAAAATTTCAGTTTTCCATCCCGTCATGACAATAAAATACCATCTGTAGAACTGTCACCTCTTCAGTTTCATTTTGAAAACTGGGTGTATCCACAGAATTTTTTTCAGGCATTTATTTCTCTCTGATCAATGGACACCAGCAGTGACTGTGAAATGTTGCTCCATTTACTTAGGGAAAACTCACACTGAAGATGAAAATCACCCCTGTGCAGTGGGCTGGCTGAAGGTATGCATCACCTAATTCCCACTTCACCCTCATTGTGAAGGCTTAGCTGGGACCTGAATGGTGCTAGTTCTCTGCAGAGGGGTAAATTTCTCCCTGAGTCAATGATGCCAATTGAGGACTGCAGGACGTGGCTCTCAGTGCTACTCCAGCACTCAGGCCCATTTCAAGAATTTGGGGGTTTTTACACGGTTGACTTGAAGACTTCCAGCATTGGAAGTGCTTACCCACTGAGAGGATGTGTGCTAATTCCAGCCTTTGGAAGCATTTGTTTCAGTTGTAAATGTTCTGATGTCATGGTGGTGATTAAAGCCCTCACACAAATCCTGGGAACCAAACTAGCTTAGGTGCCTATGGTTAATTAAGAATTTATACCATACAGCCTGGTGACGACTTCTCTCTTGATACCTCAGGGAGCCAAGTACCAGAAGCCCCAAATACTAAAAGCCCCCAAGCTTTTTACAGCAGTCACACCTGAATCTGATACAGATTTGCTGGGATTTGTGTTTTACCCAATCAAGATTTGGGGGTGTCTCTTTTTCACTCAGCTGTCACTTGGAACATATTGTGATTGAAGCTTCTAATTTAATTTGAACCTTTGGGCTTCGTGAAGGTCATTAGGGTGAAGTAATTGGCATATGTACAGCTAAGTCAGGGTAAAACCAGCAGCTCCAGGTGTGTCCCATTACAGGTGTGTGGTGCATCTTCCAAAGCCTGTGGTCTCTCCGTCCTTGGCTGTGAGCTGCTTAGCAGGGAGTGATGGGGATGCTCACATGTATTTGCAGGCCTCAGCAGGGTGACTAAATTGTCACTGCCACCTGGGGCCAGTGGTTAGCCTTTGTGGCTGAGCTCTGGTTAGGTCTAAACCTACGTAGTTCATCCTAATTCTGGTGAACAGACTTGCATCCTGCAGTTCAGGTTGTGGGGATCAGTGCTCCTTAGGCTCCAGAGGCATTTTCAGTCAACTACTGAAGGCAGTGTCGTGCAGACAGTGCTACCAGATCAAATGTAATTTGGGGTATAACAGCAGCAGGTAACCAAACCAGGTTTATGCCATGGTTACACATCTCAGGAGGGGAAATAGTGGGATCAGAATGACTATGCAATCACAATAAAGACTGAAAGGTTTTAAGAAAATAACAATTTGCATCCAGGGAAGAAAGTACTGCAGGGAAGAAGGAGAACACGAGCATAGAAAGTTGCAGTTCACTAGTGAAGAAAATATATGGACTTTGATGTACAGTCACTACTAAGCCATGATGCTGCAAGGAAAACTTGGGCAAGGCATTATAGAATTTGCTGGCCCGTAATTAAGCACAAATTTGTAGATCAGCAGCTTTTCTGTGTCAGCTCACAACGTGGAGTCTCTCAGTGGATAACCTTGGTAGCATCGATCCACATTGAGAGACGAGACATCCTATCTGCTGTGCTGTAATGTACACCTGTCTGCAGAGTTACTTCCCCATGCAGACAAGCCTTTTGCTATAAATTATGCAGTTTAGCAGTTGCCACAGAGAGGATGTAGCAATGGGAGGAAGGTTTTAGAGCACAGAGTGCCTTGCCCGAAATTTCAGAAGGGAGAGGAGCAGGCAGTGCTGTGTGTGCCTGTGAACCTGAGGCCATAGGGCTGCAGCCATCATAGCAGCGTTCTGCTGGCACTGCCAGGATCAGAGCAGGGACTCTGTCATCCGAGGAAAGGAGAGCACAGACCACGTTTGTTCTGAGAGCTGTACGAGTGAGAGGCTTAATGTGATGGCAGTAAACCGGATTGTTTTCTGCATATACCCCTTCATTGTGTCAGCTGATTGGCAAAATATATGAACCAATTTTTTTTTTATGTCATAAATGTAATACATCATTTTGGGAATGTGAAGATAGAAAAAGCTCATTAATTTACTTAAAATACTGTATTTTAGCTGGAAGAATTTGTTAACGTTTTAATTATCACTTTGCTGCCCAGTTAACTGCTGTCATTTGCTGGGTCGTGTGAAGTTTCTTATAGAGAGCTCAGAGAGCTGAACCTTTAAAAAACAACAGGGAAAAAGCCCTCTTCAGCTGTTTTCTGAAAATCCATAAGCCTGCGACAAACTGTTTCTAAGCAGAATAGAAGCATGAATGTTACTATGTTCATGATCAGAGAAAGGTGATAAATGCTGAATACATCAGCTCACTTTTCATGCTAAGCGACCTGTAATATGTAAGATACACGTTGTAATACCATGTTTGGTCTGCTTTCAGCTCTAGGAACCAAACTATTCTTGTAACCCATTCCTGTGAGCATACAGGTTTTAATATAAAATGAATTTCACAAAAGTCGATGGATTTTGAAAGACCTCAGAATAAAGTTTCAAACTAGCTTAAAAATACCCAATGCTCTTGATTTGTGCTAACGCTTGGATTCTTTGATACTCGTAGAGCCAGCGTATGAGGCACAGCAGCCATTCTGCAGAGAACTCTCCAATTGAGCGACGAAGTCTCATGACCTCAGATGAAAATTATCACAACGAAAGGGCTCGGAAGAGCAGGAACCGCTTGTCTTCCAGTTCCCAACACAGCCGAGATCACTATCCTCTAGTGGAAGAAGAGTACTCTGACTCATACCAGGACACTTACAAACCCCATAGGAACCGAGGATCCCCTGGAGGATATAGCCATGATTCACGACACAGGCTTTGAGTTCAAGAACCTGGGGAAAAATAGTATTCATCAGTTGATAACTTGCCATAACGTAGCTAGGAAAAGCAATTCACCTTAATTTGGCAGATGTAACGCGGTTATACTGAGGTTACACTCTGCTGTCATTTGATGTTAAGTAGGGGACAAAAGAGTTATCATGCCCTTACGTTTATGCCCTGTCATATAGATTGTATTTTGTTGTTTTGTTTTTTTATTTTTAGTACAGCATTTACATTTATAGCCATACCTTTTCTCATCGTTAGATATTAGGCACATCAGTTTGTAACTTAGGGTTATTATCGAGGCACTTATAAAGTAATTTCCTGTGCTGGAAATTCCAAATGACCAGTTCCAGTTGGAACCAATTTATAAACCAATTCCTGTTGGAATTTGGGTGAATTGACTGGAAAGTCAACCTGAGCATGTTGCAATCAAGTGAAAAAGATAAAAATGAAGAATCTGAAAATTAGAAACCGGTAGAAGCTGGAAAGTCAGCTACAGTATTTGTTTGCTGGAAGCTCAATTTACATTTACAGTTAGAATAAAAGCATTTTATCCTAACTACTTACTTCCAGAATGGCTTTTTCAGACAAACCAAATGTAAACTGTTGAGAGTGCCAAAATCACAAATTATTGCAGCAGTTACAAAATACTTTCCAGTTTGAAATTATTTTTAGAGCTGGCGTGAATGTTGCAGCAAAATGATTTCTTTAGTTTAGCCAGTACTGACTTTTGTGTTGGGGTCAGCAGTGATGAGCTATGACACGGCAAGGGGAAACAGAAACAGGAAAATGAACAAACTTCAGGACAGTTTGTGTGGTTAGAGCTTGAGAGTAGTCTTTTTTTTTTTCCTCTCTCTCTTGTTTACCTGAATACAGCTAGTAGTCCCAAAATCATAGAATCGTAGAATCACAGAACGGCCTGGGTTGCAAAAGCCCACAATGCTCATCCAGTTCCAACCCCCTGCTGTGTGCAGGTCACCAACCAGCAGCCCAGGCTGCCCAGAGCCACATCCAGCCTGGCCTTGAATGCCTGCAGGGATGGGGCAAATGTAGTAGTAGTAGGAGGAGGAGTACCAAAACTGGTACCTAGACACGTAATATTTTTTCTCCCATTTTGAGTATCCTGTCTTTTTAAATGGAAAATGATACTTTTCCAACCCAGCGTGTAGAGTACCTCCATTCCAGTCCATCTGAGTACCTGCGTGTTGCAACTTTCAAAATCTGTCTCTGAATGTCTGAAAATTCCAGCATCGCACAAGAACTCTCCAGAAGAACATCAGTTTCAGTCCCAGTAGTGAAATCTGAGGAAAGGGGGGAGGTTAAGCATCCCTAAATGATAGAAGTGGAAGTAATACGTTCATCAGAATTAGCGTGCAATAAAAATGGAGAATCAGAAAATAATCGCTCGCATGCAGAGCTGACATTTTTAATTCAAAGAACTACGATAAATCCTTGGAGATATTGCTGCCTTATTTCCTACTGATCACTTTTCACCTATTGAGTCTTCAGTTTTTTTTTAAATAGGTCAATGTCTGTGAGTAGACCTTCTGTCTTACATCATCAGTGAAGCCTTAGATCCAATACGATTGAAACAGTGAGCGTAACTGGCAGTTTTGTACAACACAGCAATGTCTGTAAGCAGAGACTCCTGAAGTTCCACACTGCATGTTTTCTAAAATGGACACAACTATGCTGAACGTGCATTTTTGTATGCAGGTTCGTGTCAAAAGTTTTTTCAAAGATGAGGATCATTGACTTTTGTATCTGAGTATCTTCCCCAGGGTGGGCTTTAAGAGCATGTAGCATGAAGAGAATTTCCTAATTATTATGGTTTCTTCCACTTTCTGGACCAGTTAACAAAGATCACTGATATTTTCCACCACCACTGAGCCTGGTTATCTTCTTGATGTTCAAAACGAGAAAAGTAATTCATCTCCTGTCTGGTACAGCCAAAAATGACGTACATCTCTAGCAGCATTAGAGGATCATGGATGCATGACTGATTTGTTAAACAATTCTACTGCCTCAGAGGCAAACCTTAAACATTACTGGATGACTCAAGTGGGCCCATTGCCAAGAAAAAAAATATTAAATACCTGCATCCATTGGTGTAACAAGAGTTAAGAATGGGTATGAGAGACCTGATCCTGTTGGATTTTCTCCAGCTGAATGCTCACAGATTCCAAAAGTGCATTTAGGCTGAGAAAGCACAGCAAGATCTGGTCTGGGAATGGTAGCTACAGCTGCCTTCTCAAATATTTTCTGCTATAGCACAGTGGAGCATTCTCCAGTAATTTTTACAAATCTTTGTTACATGTACAGCACACATACCTGCATGAGAAAGAAGGCATTAGGCAAAACATATTTTCTATAAGCTTTAATAAGTTTCTTGTTTGTGTGCATTAAAGTATTAATTGCAAAGGATGCACTGAGATGTATAAAGCTAGATTAGACAGCTGTTTATCTTTATTCTGTAGTAGCATTAGGGATCCGATCATTTAACTGCTTGAAGATACTTGCATTTTAATGGCAGGTAGCTGTGAAGCACCTGCATATATTTTCTAGTAAACAAGGTTACTGCTTTATCATTTCCTAGACAAAAATGGCATTTATTTCTAGAGCCTTTTGGAGCCTTGTTTTTAAGTCTTCCATGTCATGCTAGTAAAGGGAAAGATCGACACAACACATAGGCATAAATTCCATCACCTGCAGCATCTGAAGTGCCAAAGCAACTTTCTTTGTTCTAATAGAAACAAGCTTGCGAGGGATTTCATGTATTGTCTTGGAAGAACCCATTGAGATCCTTTATTTTATGGGTTTAAGGTTACTATTGTATGTAATTAATTTACCCTCTTTGCTCGCATTGCCCACTCCATTTTAAATATAAGAAATCAGTTACAAAAGATCCAGCAGATCTCATTGCTTGGTGTGTTTTCTTTTTTTCATTGGAGACAGGTATATCTTTAAGCACAAATATACTGAACATGCTAATAGATGATTAATTTATTCTAGACACGAGCTACTGGAACTCTTTCATTTTACAGAGTAAATTATTTTTAGGAAACACGGTAATCAGTAAAAGCTGCAATGTTGATCAGGACGTGTTAACTCATAGTGTTTGTATTAGAACTGCAGCAGTGCTAGGCAGCTGTATTGTGATTTATTATGCAGTGCTGCTATATACAGCTGTGAAGTTCATGTATTCCTCAATGAATACAAGTAATTTTCCAGTCCTCATACCATTTCTTCTTATTATTCAAATATTATTAAGCAAAGGTCGGGGTTCTGTTCCTAAGCTCTGGCTTACACAGAGAATTTTAGATGGCTTTTTTGTTACCTGATGTTTTTTTCATTAGGAGACTTGGGTTAACAACAGCTCAGCCAATGACAGTGATATGACAGTCTTAACATCTAAAGACAATATAAGGCGGTGCATTCGTATGTTTAGGATGAATTAAAATATTTTCGAACTCTTGAATGCACTTTAAAGACAATTCATTATTAAATTCCTAATTTAAAGTATTTCCTTTTTGGCAGGTTGTATTTAGCAGATGCACGGGTTCATTTAGTGGCCATGTAGCTGAACATTTATCCCATGGGATGTGCAACTCACAACTGGCTATATTTCTGCAGTGAGTAGATTATGAAATTGCTGTTCAAAGGAACACAATGAAAGCTATTCTGTATAAAATTGTAGTTTATCAACAGTGGGCCAGCTTCTATGATTGCTTCCTAAACATTCGACCTGGTAAAAATCAGTTCCTCTGCTTGAGAACTAATAGTGCAACGTGGCCCTACACCTAGATTGTACCTCAAGAAATCCTCTTAGCCCTAGACTGTGTACATGATGAGCAAGAGTAGCTCCTGGAGCACACCCTGACTTAGATCTGACGTTTCTGGCTTGCTGTGCTGGACCCAGGTGCACTGGGTATGGTGGGGTGGGAGGCGGCTCTGGGGCTCCAGCAGGCGGTCGCTGGTGGCCATATGCAGAGTGCAATGCTGGCTTTCTGCAAGGAGAAGCAATGCCACTGGTTTTTCTCTAGGTTTGAAAGCTTATTCTCAGTTTGTAACTGGGGTGGTAACCTTTTGCGCCCCTTTTAAAATAATGTTTACACATATTCTTGTGAGAATGAAAATTGCAAACGGGGAGTGGTGGCTGCAGGGGTAACGAGGCAGGGACAGTCAACTGAGGTGTGCACAGGCCCTCAGCTTACAGATCAGTTTGACTGCAGGTCTTCTGAATCCCACTTGGTCTCAGTACTATGGAGTCCTCTGAAACCTCTCCAAATCACTTTACTGGCTCTAACGTTCTCAAAATAGTATTGCTAATTTAAGTAAATGAGGGCTTTTGTTACTGTTTTGGCTTTCAGAATATCTTAAAAGTCATTCTGATAGATTTTGTTGTCCAAGTTGAGTACTTGTGAAGCCTGGCCTGGATTCCATGGTCGTCATTTTTTTAAAGCAAAAGTAGACACTGTGAAGAAGAAAAAAATCAGATGCACATTGGGTAGAATATCAGTAATACAGATCTGTATTCACTCCTGAAAGTCATTACTATAAAATTGAGTTACATTCCCCAGTTGGCTTTTTAACACCACATTGGAGTTAGAGAATTTTCTTCCTGGATGACAGCTTTAATGTCAGTTTAGATTCATGAGGTTCTGCTATCTTTTGCTGCAGTTGCCTCTCATTCCTTCAAACCTGACTTCTCCAAAGGGTAAGGAACTGTAAGGCACTGTAATGTAGCCAGCTTTAACTTTGGGGGAAAAAAGGAGGCCAAAAGTACGTTCCTTCACTGGCAGTCATCTGAATGATGATTGTTGGGTTGTTATTCAAATCCAGTTTATTTTACATAGAAAAATAAAGGTATGCATGTCTTTAAAAGTACAGGGATATTTTAATAATGTTGTAAAGTACATATGAGGTATTTGCTTAAAAAAGAGCTGAAGATTCTGCTCTGTATCAAACCCTTTGTTAAGCTGGAGACAGATTTTTCCTGATGCACAATCCATTTAAAAAGTCCAGAGAAACATTCCAAGTGAATCCATGCAGAGGTTTGGGAGGAGGCGGAAATTATTGGAGACAGCAATGAGAGTGTCATTCATTTCATGATTCATAGCTAATTCCTTTGAGAGTGGTGAAGCTAGAAGCAGCATGGCCTTGGTCTCAGTGATGCTTCTGGCTTGCATTCGGCCCCCAGGTTTTTGGCAGTGAGTTACTGTGTGGCCTGGGCCCTACAAACACCTGCTGCTGGGCACAGTGCGTATTACTGCCTTGCCTGAGAGTCAGTGCTTGCAGGGTCTAGCCATAACTGTCATATACCACTTATCACACGCCTTACGAATGGTTCCTGAAATACAAAGTAAAATTAACTGAATGCCAGAGCCCCCTTTTTTTGCTTCTACTCTGTATAAGCAGTAGAAGATCAATATAGTGAGGAAATAATACTGTACAATACAGAATTGTGTATTTTGCCAAACATGAAAAAACAGAGCAAGGGAAAAGAAGCACATTTGTAATAGCACAAATTTACAGTAATTCCATTATTGCATTTGGCATTGTGTTTTTGAAAAAAAAAAAAAAAGGTATTTTGATCCAGTATTAATGTATTTATTGCATTTTCAATCAGTTTAACTTGTTGCCTGATACTTAAGCATTTTATTTCTAAGGCCTTGCATTTTGCATATGACTTGATTTTTCAATAACTTCATATTAACTAATGAAGAAAGAACCTTTCAAAATTACAGAATCTTGTATTCATTTCTGCTGATTTCCTCCTCGGAACTGAAATTCCATAAACAGAAGCAAACTTCTGATTCAGTGCATAGATTTTGGCATCTGACTGATGAATATAGCACTCCTGTCCGAGCAGCCCAAGGTCTGCAATGAAATTCTCAGTGAGCTCTTAGGGCCGTAGTGCTGCATGCTGTTGTGTGCCAGGTGAGGGACGTGGAGGACATTGCACCTGAATTGCTTTGGGAGGGTCAGCACTAAACTGCCACTGATACTGCTGTGTGTTCAGAACTGAAAGGACAGCAAGCTTATGCTGTTCAGGCCCAGGGTTGGGCTGCCATTTGAACAGCCTGATCCTCCTCTCGTACGCACAAAGTGAAATTGCACGAGAACAGCACAGGAAGAAGATCAGGCACAGTGCTGTTTTATGTATGCATGAGAAGCAGAGGGTAATGAAAAGGTGAATACTGCTCAATCTGCAAACCATGGACCTTGGGCTTCTCAGTTCCCAGAAGATCTGTTCCTCACCCGAACTCGTTCCCAGTGCCAGCTTGGCAGTGCCCAGCCCCACCAGGAGCCAGTTCGGGGGCACTTTGGTAAAGATGTGGCTGCCTTTACTCCAAAATGAGACCCACAAATTCATGTTTTCTGTTCTGCTGATTTGCCCCTTTCGGTTTTTACTTCTAGATACTGTATGTGTAGCATTCTACAAGGCATGCTGGGTAAAATATACTATGCAAATGTGTACAGTGTTGCATGCTTTGCTCTCCCTCTGCTTTTAGTGGCTTTCAAAGAAAAAGAAAGTGTTGTTATTTTTGTGATCAGAATCATTTAAAAAAGAAAATGCAGACTGCATGCTGTTAGTATCCTCATTTCTATGGATTTGTTTTATGGGATTTAGATGTACAAAAATGAACTGCATTACAATAACTTTTCTACAATAAATCAAAAACTACAAACAGCACTCAGAAGTCTTGTAAATCTCTGTGTTCCAGCACTCAAGACCGAGAAAGTGCTCAGAAGAGTCACTGATGGAAACAGTTCTGAATGTTGTGGCATTTTTATTGTTTGATGATGGGTTTTGGCAGTGGTTTCTCCTGTTAGCATTTTTAGTCAATATCAGTGAGGTTCTGAAGAAAGACGTGCATCTGGTCTGTGAAATGAGTGGTGTTTATTTTTAAATCTATCTGCTCTTAAATAATCACAGCTCAGAAGCACAGAAGTCTGCGTAACATCTCACTGCTCCACCAAGAACCAAAATCCTTCAGCCAAATGCTGAAAGATTCTCATGAATGTAATGGTCTTTGGAACCGATCCTCATGTTAATTTAACACTTGTTTCTAGAAAGAAGCAACTATCAGAATAATGTGAGGTATTAAGAAAGAAGCAAAACCAGGTTATAATATCCTGCAAACAGGAAAGTACTGAAAGATGCTACCTTTAGCTAAACCTGAAAAGCAGTCGTGGGAGTGAAATTACAGGGTGAATTCCCTTTTGGAGTTGTTCCACATGGAAGCAAACAGACTTATTTTCTTCAAAGCGCATAACCAGCAACCCAACAAAAACACAGTGGCCACGTAAGAGATCTGGGAGCAGTGTGAGCCAGGGCCTGCACAGCCAGACGGCACAGAGCAGCTCTGAGCCCAGCAGGGTGTTGTGCTGCTTGCCTGCCCTTTGTACCCACCTGCTGCTCCTTGCTGCTGTTGGAGTGCCACCAGGTGCTCCTGGTGCCTCCCCAAGCTGGCTGGCACCCACAGGAACCAGCTCTGCCTGCTTTGCAGCCCTCCTGCCCAGGACCTGCCTTCTGCGGGCAGAAATACAGGTACCAGGTAATCTGTGTGCTTATGGTGGGAATCAGCTTTAAGTGTCTAACATACATGCAGCGTTTTAAACACAAATCGAGTCACTTTGTCTGATTGTTCAAAAGTAGATTCTAGCATGTGAGTTTCAATCAAAGCTGTTTAATAAAGAGTTTGTGGCCTTTTGAATAAATAGAACAAAAAATACATTCTTTTGTGTGGTTTTGATCCATTCCTGGAAGTAGAAGGTTTGCGAGCCACATATCCTGCCTGTCTCTTCTACATGTTCAGCTTTGCTCTGCGGTTGCTAGGAGCAAAACTGTGTGCTATTTGACAAAGGCTTTTTGAACTTCCAGGAGTAATAATCGTAATCACTACAAACTGTGCCAACTGCAGTGCTTCCCTAGAAAGCTCCCACCAGGAACAGCAGCCAGGTGGTAGCATTAGCATGTAAAGAACCACATGTTGAATCAGGCCACAGGCTTGTTGTAAACTATGACTGAACTACCAGAAGGAAGCAGGAGCTGAAATCTTAACATCTTCCTGATCCTGAAATCCACTGTATGATCCCTTACCTGGTCAAAATGCAGCTGTTTGTGCAGCTGTTGGCTATAGAGAGGCTGCTGGCAGTTGGGTAGCATGACAGGCTGCTGGCAGAACCAAATACAGTTCTTAAATGTTGCTTAAAACCATCAAAAAAAAGAAAAAATACCTGGGGAGCAGGAGGAGAGGGGAGAAGGAGAGGGGGAAGAGCTTTTCTATTTAAAGATTCAAAATAACTGAGTTTTGCTATCCTCTTCCATAGTTGTGTGTGAGTTCTGTCTCAACTAACCCTGGTGCCAGCCCATTGCGTTTCGGGATCACCTGCTGTTTGCACCAGGTCTGCAAACAGAAATCCACTGTGCACACCTGGAAGTCTCTGTGGAGGCACAGCAGCAGAAGGGGTGGCTGCAGGCCGAGTGCTGCTGGGACTGAACACTGCTAAAAAGCATACAGGTGAACCCCAGGGACAATGGCACATTGTGTCTACTTATTTTCAAGCTGGATGGCTACCAACGTTACTGGCGCAGAGCATGGTTTATTTCATGCTATTAAAGGTGTAATGTGCCGGTTCATTACCAGGATGTTTATTTTCTTCAGCTCTTAAGGACTGAATATTTCAGCACAAAGCACGAATGCCTGCAGATGCACACAGAAACTCGGAGACTGTTGCTGGTCTTGCTGCAACTACAGTCAATATTGCAGCAGGGGAAATAAAAGCAAGGAGCCACTATCAAAATGGAAGTTTCCAGCACAGTTACATCTATTACTCAGATAACTGTAGGTGTGTTTTCTTCATTGGGCCCACCGGTGTTGTTTAACACAGAGGCACCTGTGTCAGCTGTGGGCCATGTCTGGAGCTCTGTGCTGTGGAAAAACCAGAGCCTCATGCTGAAAATAAGCACTGCTTGTGCGTCTGACCTCAAGTCTTGCAGAAAGACAAAACATAACTGGCTGAGGTAAAAGTAACCTTTTGTTCAGAGTAAAGACCTTGAGGCTATAAAGCAGGCAGTGCTGAGCAGAAAGCAGCGTGGTCAGAAAGCCTTCAGATGGAAGGAAAGCAGCACATCTACCCATGCATCCCAAAGTGTCCAAGTGAGAAACAGCAGCACGGCTGCCGGTTGCTTGGGGTCATCATCTATGTGTCCAGAGAGCTCAGTGCAACCTCAGTGCTGAAGGAACACTTGTGTGTTCCAGGCCCTTCAGCCTGCAGCACTGAAACTCTGCTCATAGCAACCAGCGCTGCCCTGCGTGGGGTGGGACTGCTGACCTGAGGTGAGCGGGGCAATGGTGGGTGCTGAGGGGTGCTGAGGGGTTCTGAGGGGTGATGAGGGGTGAAGAGGGTTACTGAGGGGTGATGAGGGGTGCTGAGGGGCACTGAGGGGTGATGAGGGGTGATGATAGGTGATGAGGGGTGATGAGGGGTAATGAGGAGCACTGAGGGGTGATGAGGGGTACTGAGGGGCACTTAGGGCATGAGAAGCACTAAGGGGGACTGAGGGTAGCTGAGGGGTGCTGAGGGACACTGAGGGATGTTGAGGGGCACTGAGGGGCATTGAGTGGAGCTGAGGGGTACTGAGAGGTACTGAGAGGTACTGAGGGGAGTTGAGGGGTGCTGAGGAGTACTGAGGGAGCACTGAGGGGCACTGAGAGGTGCCAAGGGACAAGTGGGACAAGGGGAAATGGTTTAAAGTTGAGGAAGGGAAGATTTAGGTTGGATATCAGGGGGAAGCTCTTTGCTGTGAGAGCGGTGAGGTGCTGGAACAGCTGCCCAGAGAGGCTGTGGATGCCCCGTCCATCCCTGGAGGTGTTCAAGGCCAGGTTGGATGGGGCCCTGGGCTGCTGTGAAATGAGGAGGTTGGTGGCCCTGTGTGTGGCAGGGGGTTGGAGCTTCGTGATCCTTGAGGTCCCTTCCAACCCAACCATTCTGTGATTCTGTGGGAGCACTGAGGGGCATGAAGAGGCTCTGAGTGACACCGAGCCGCAGCCTCGCGCCGGCCGCGCGGTGGGCGTGGCTTCCCAACGGCCGCCGGGGGGCGTGGCCTCCCATCGCCGGCACGGCCACACGTCCTCCCCGCCTCCGCGTGCCCTACGGTGGCCGCGAGGAGCGCGGTGCGGTGCGGTGCGGTGCCGGCCGGCGGCCTGCGGGAAGGCTGCTGAGCGGCGCGAGGAGCGGGGCGGAGGAGCGCGGGCGGCGGCGATGTCCGCGCGTGGGAGGCGCTCGGCCCGCAGTGCGCAGCGCGAGCAGGCCCGGCGCGGGGGGCTCCTCCCGCAGGCCGGGCGCCGGGCCGGGCCCTGAGGCGGCCGCGGCCTCGGGCAGCCCCTGGCGGCGGGTGCGGAGGAGCCGGCGGCGGCCGGAGCGGGCCGAGGATGGGGATCCTCTTCACCAGGATCTGGAGGCTGTTCAACCACCAGGGTGAGCGGCGAGCCGGGCCGGGCCGGGCCCGTTGGCGCGGGCGGTCGGGGCAGGGCTGGGCCCGTGGCTCGCCCCGCGCGGGGCGGATTTACGGAGCGCCGGACGCGCACCGGCGCTGCTGGCCGAGGCTGCGGCGCCTTCGGACTCGCCGTGAGCGAACTCGGCGCTGCCGTCCTGCCCGGCCGCGTTTCGGTGTTGTGCGGTTGTGCCGAGCGGCTGAACCCGGGCCGTGTGTGTGATGGTGGTACGAGGCGGCTCTGCGGAACCGCAGCGTGTCGGTTAAATCGGAACCGAGGAACCTCGCTTGTCTGAATGTCTCCTCCACAGCGATCACGGCTCCGGGAGTTGAGCTGTGGGGTACGGAGCTGGGCGGGCTGCTGGGGGGGAAACACATCTGGTGTGCTGGGCAACACCGCCTGCAGAGTTCAGGTTCCTTCTGTGATGCGTAGGAAGGAAGGTGCTAAGCAGAAACGATCGGCGGTTCTGGCACTGAGCTCTAAGTGCCGGAGCTTTTTGTTGTACCCGTTGGTTTGTCCAAAACCAAATTGGGTGAATGAGGGCTGCAAAATATACGGAGGCAAATCTTTCTGTGTTCCAAAGCTGCTAAAAGGGAAATTGGACACGGGGTGGCTGTATGGTTGGACTTGGTGATCTAGTGGTGAGGCACTGGAACAGGTTGCCCAAGGAGGCTGTGGATGCCCCATCCCTGCAGGCATCCAAGGCCAGGCTGGATGTGGCTCTGGGCAGCCTGGGCTGCTGGTTGGTGACCTGCACACAGCAGGGGGGTGGAACTGGATGAGCGTTGTGCTCCTCTGCAACCCAGGCCATTCTGTGATTCTATGATCTTAGGCGTCTTTTCCGACCTTAATGATTCTGTAGCTTGAGGAGCAGCACTCTGTGTGCTGCAGGGTATTCCTGCAGGCAGCATTGCTGCTTTCTGAACTGCTGCTCAGAATGAGATGAAGAAGTTGCTGGCTGTGATAGGAGCATGGCCTTGGAAAGGCACACTTGGTTTGCACGAGCATTCTGGAGAGATGCTATAACTGGGGCAATAGAGAATGCAATCTATTATGATCTGCAGGAGTGTAGAAGCTTCAGAAAGAATGCTCCAGCAGCTTAGAGAAGGAAAAAATCCAAATGTCATATCTTAGAAATTGTTCCTTCAGGTGTGCAGACAAGAAATGTGACGATAGCACAGGTAGACAATGTTAGGTATGGTGTGAAATCCAGCAACAGAGTTACGTGCTGGCTGAGGAGATCCGCCTGCAGTGCAGTGTGAACCTTGCCTTGTAACGCAGTCCTTGTTGTGATAGCAGAGCTAACAATGTGACTTACTGGTTGTATTTTTATTTCAGAGCACAAAGTAATCATTGTTGGTCTGGATAATGCAGGAAAAACTACCATTCTTTATCAATTGTAAGTATGAACTGCCAGTGATGTTTCGTGTGTCTCAAGGTGTGTGTTGTGTGCATTGCTTTGGCTTATTTTTGCTTCTGTCCCTGTTTCTTTTTACTTGGAGATCACCGTGCTGGAAATTATGGGATAAGTGGTGCTGGGTCAGGGCGTGTGTTCAGAGTTTGGAAATGTCTGTGTTCCTCCTGATGTGTGAATAAGGTTTTGTTGAGAACTATTTATCAAATTACATTGCTATTAAAGTTGATCACAGCTGCCTTTGGTGTCACAGCACAGGCTGTCTGCCAGCTCCATGAAATAGGGTTACACTGAGGGTTAGCCACAGCACAGTGCTGCTGTGCTGGTCCATGCCACAGTGTGTAACTGTGCCATTCTTTGTGAGTCGCAAAGCACCAAAGCCTGACCTCTCCCTGCCTCAAATTGTGTCCTGCCCACCTTGGTGGCACAGGAAGGGCTGAGCCAGCAGCAAGCCTTGCAGTGTTGGTTGCTGTTAAGCTGTTTCTGGCTTGTATTTGTCATGCCTCAGCCTTGCTGCTGATGCCTTGGTACCTGCATGGGCTCCATATCACTGGTCCTCCACGGTACTTTGATAAAGGGCTGCAGATCTGTGCCTGGGCTCAGAAACTGCAGGTGGGACAGGCAGCTCAAGGCCTCTTTATAGCAGGAGCAGATTGGCCTTCTCTCACAGCAGGCAGTCTGGTGCTAGGAAGCACTCCTGCTTCAACCCTACACTTAAAATGTTGCAGGGGTGAATATTTCTTTTGACAAACTGTGGTTGGCTTTTGCCTTTCTGAAATGTGAGAATTATGCAGTGTTCCCAGCCCTTTGCAGGCTGCACAGGAGAAAGTGAAAATATAAGGATCGTTGTTGTTACCAAACAGAGAGTGAGAAAATATTTTTAGTATTAAAAAAGTAATAGAATGAAGTGGAATCTTTTAAAGAACAGTAACTGTTGCTGCTGAAGGCCATCCTTGGTGTGTTACAAAGCTGCCTGTGTCTTTTCACTTCCTCCACGAAGTCTCATGATTCTTTTCATCTTCTTCTTTCTGCCATCTCAGTGTTTTCTTTTCCCTTTTGTACAGTGGATGGCTGTGTGCCTCCTTTTCCTCTGTACCCTTTTTGGCATTGCAGGACTTCCCCTTCTCTTTAGTTGAAGGGTGCTGCTCTGGATGGGTCTGATCTGCTGCTCCTCCTGCCTGACTATTGCTTCAGGAATCTTTGCCCGCTGTATTTTTCCTTATACACTTTCTCCATGGCAGATAAGTGTTCTGAGCAAGAATGAATGTTTGACTGTTGGAACAAACGGGCAGAGATAACTGCAGCAGTGTGTCTCAGTGTGCTGACTGGTGCTTGGTGTCATGGAGGGTCACAGCACTTTGGAGCAGTGATTCTTGCAGCAGGTTGTGGCAGCCCTACAGACACTTTCTTTCCATTCTCATACTCAGCTCTCCCTCCTCTTTGTTGAGTAGGATTTGGCAGTCTGTTGTCTAGAAAAGCCATGAAGCTCCACGCTAACCTTGTTTCAGTGGGGAGGAGGAAAGAAAATCCAGCTATCATGTTGCACACAGAGTTGCCGACAGCTTGAGTGTGAAAGGCTGCAGGTTCAGCCAGGGAAATGGGAGCTGTGAAATGCCTTTCCCAAGCATTAAAAGAATTCTGCTGAAACCTGGTTGTGAAATATTAAATCAGCCAGAGGCATCTTGTTACCATTGTCTGCCTTAATTTCATTTTACTGTTCTTTCTCATTCTGATACTTCTCTTTCTCCAATCTTAGCTTCCCCCAAACTTGTGTGATGAGAGAATACCTTGTCTTGGTGCTAAGACATTGAGTAGCTGGTGTTCCTTCCCACAATGTTAGGCTACCCTTTTATCCCTCAGTTACCCTGGTCAGTAAATAGCTCAGCACTGTTACAAGTCTCAAATTGATGTCTCTATAACTGAAAGCTCTGCTGAAGTATTTAAAAAGTGTATATATATATAAAATGGAAAAAAAAGATCATGATTATCAGAAGAAAAAATAATTAAATTCTTTGAAAAAGATTCATCTTTTCCTTTAAAGCTGCTTGTGTGATTTTTTTTTTTTATGTCCCTTTCAGTAGAGTTTAAATAATTTGAAGAGTGTCCAGAATACACATTTGGTTATTACTCTTTATGTGCCTTAATGACAGAGTTGCACTAAGTATCTCTAAACCAATGTATTTCTCAACCTTAATTAATCAGCATTCATCTCCACAATGGAGAGTCCATTTGCTGGATAGAAGGAAGTCTGGACATAAAGTAACTGCAGTGTGAAGGAGTTGTGTGTGTGCTGTCCAACCCTGTGCTTGGTGGAGCTGGATGAGCAGTTGTTTTTCTGCAACCTTGGAATTCTTGTGGCTTAACCATAGTCTTGAAGAAAAGCAACTGCTCTCTTCCATGCTGCATCGTGCCAAAAGAAGCCTGGAAAAACAAGAGCTGGCTGCTTGAAACGCTTTCTGAAGCAAATGCTCCTTCAGCTTTATGATTTAATTAGTTATAAAATAGTTTTGTTGACAAATGCTTTCTCAGCTTTATAATTTAACTGTTATATAGGTCACCGAATCCTCCTTTATTGTCATTTTTATTCTCCTCCAACTTTGTCCCTATTTTTGCATTAGAAGCTTTTGCTAGAGTTCCCCCATTAAGCTTTCCACCTTGGAGAAACCATCAGCTTTAGTGTCACAGAAGCAGGCTCAGTGCTGGCTGTGTGTGACGAAGCCGACCTCTTCTCCCCGCAGCTCAATGAATGAAGTGGTGCACACCTCACCTACGATAGGCAGCAACGTGGAAGAGATCGTGGTTAACAACACGCGCTTTCTGATGTGGGATATTGGAGGGCAGGAGTCCCTGCGGTCCTCGTGGAACACCTACTACACCAACACCGAGGTGAGAGCCCTGCCCTAAGCCCTGTGGTAATGAATGGCTGCTGGGGAAGGAGAGAGCTTACCCGAGACCAGGCGTGCTCCCAGGGAGCTGCACTGGCTGAGTTGAGTGTTCTATAGCAACTCCAGGCTGCTTGTGTTCTGGTTGTGTACAACTCGTGTTCTGATGCTGTACGACTCCCTTCTGTACTTTCATAACATACTTAAAAGTAAGTTCAAGGACCCTGTGTCTGGGGATCCATGGCCTTGGGGCAGGTGTTGCACATCCCCATGTTTACAGGTTCCTACTGCGGGCTGTAACAGCTGTTTCTCTGTAGCAGGTACTTCAAAACCTGTGTATCTCCAAAATGAGCAAGGCTGGAAGTCCCAATACCAGGAGCTCTGTCTTGCAGGCTCCTATGATCAATTCACTCAAGCACCCTGAGAGTTTTGAGTACACCTCAGTGACAAAGCTGCAGCACATACGCTGGAGTTGATTAAAATTGTGCTTCAAGTCAAGATTTCCTACATGATAACAGTTGTGGTTTTATTGATGTTGTTTTCTTTAAAAGGTTAACTTTTTTAGTCTTTGTTTTCCTGTGCTTCACTAGAAGGCACTGTGACGCGTATATGCACGTATACTTTTGAAGTGTGACATTTGTTATGTTTTTTTTTAATGTATTTAAATCCCTTAAATTCCTGCTTTCATGTTAGAGCTTGAAACAAAGGGAGGAAGCTGTTATACTTCACCTTCTTACGGAAGCAACAAATCATCTGAGCGATCTGTGTGCTACCTCAGTTATCTGAAGCAAAGAATAAAGCCAGATCTGGGGTGCTGACAAGAGCTTGCTCTCAAAATAAATTTTTCACTTGAAAATGGAGGTCAGAAAAGATGCATCAGAGCTGCTTTGTATACAAAGCACTGGCTGAACTGCTAACCATAGCAGTGCTGTGGGTAACCAGCCACGCTCTGCATCTGGGACAAGATGACACCTAATAATCCTGCTGGCTATCTGAATAATCTGATGGGAGCAATGATCTGTTCTGTGTAAGCACGCATGGCCGGAAGAAAATAGTGTGTTCTTTGAAATGCTGACTCATAACTTTTGGCTTTTTAAAGTTTGTAATAGTTGTTGTGGACAGCACAGACAGAGAGAGGATTTCCGTGACTAAAGAAGAACTGTACAAGATGTTAGCACATGAGGTGAGTAGATCCTGTATCTTCTTTGCTGTAATATTTGTGGCTAAGATGTGGATCAGGAAACTGGGCTGTGAGAGCTTCGTTTAAGAATGCCATTTAAGCCTGGTGGTGGGAGACAGATCAGAAAGGACACATGGCTCAGTTGGAACCCAGGGCTCATGTTAACAGCCATGTTCCTGGCTATGGGCAGTGCTGTCAGACCTGTGTAGTTTTTGCTAGAGGCTCTGTCTGTTGTGAAACTCCCAATACAATTTGTGGGAGATCAGTGATTTCATATTAATTCATAAAAGTAACTTTTCAGCTTCTGAGTGCTTCATCAAAACAGAAGTTGACACTTAGAAATGATATACATGTTTTTTCAGCATAAGTCTTGAAGACTTGCAGTAGCTGAAGAAGGGCTATTATGCTGTGCCTTTATTCTTGTTCGTTGTGGCTGGAAGCTTAGGTTAAGTCTTCAAAGGAAACCTTTGCAATAAGAACCAAACAGCAATTGAGATAATTGCAGAAATGCAAAATGCATGACGTAAACTCTTAAAACTCAGGCTGGATGTGGCTCTGGGCAGCCTGGTCTGGTGGTTGGCGACCCTGCCTATAGCAGGAGGGTTGAAACTGGACGATCTTTGAGGCTCTTTTCAACCCAAGCCATTCTGTGACTTTATGAAAATGTGTGAGAAAACTGTAGTAGTTATCACTCTACATCAGCTTGAACTTACAGACTGAGTATGATTTGCTAACTTGTGAAGACTCTCTTTCAAATAGAGTGGTGTTAGGTCTAAAATGGAACTATCTGTTTCTGATTCATAAGTGCTCTCATACTGTATAAGCCAAGGAGCAGTGCAGTGTAATGTAAGTTATCTGCTCATGAAGTGCTGCAAGACCAGAGGCTGGAGTTTTAATGAATATGTGCTTATATAAGCTTAACTTCTGCTGTGATATGTAAGAGCAGCAAATTTAATGCAAGTGGGATCAGTTTGTATGAGCTGACACTCAGCTTCCAAACCTAAAAGTGTCAGAATACAAAGATGTGGATAGAATTGATGGCATTATATCCCAAAATATTCCATCTATATTTAAACTATCACCACTGCTCAGCAGGTGACTACAGAAAGGCCCAAGACTGCATCTATATATCTATATATATCTCTGTATATAAATATATGTATTTCTATTGAATGATCATGGTAGCATTGAAGAAACAACCAAGACCTTTCTTCAGTGTCTTGATGTTTTTTTTTTTTTTCCTTTTGTATTTAAATTCAAGTAGTGTTTAACATGTTACTGAATTTCTTTCTTAGTGAGGTTGGTGTAATTAGCTGTGAGCCAGAGGACAGGTAATGCTTTTTCTGGGAAGTAGGTGTCCTCCCAAAATGTTGTTGTTTTTATTCCATGACCTTGGGATTTTAGGCAGCTGTTTTGCAGAACTTTGAACTGTGAACCTCAGCCAGTGTCCAGCTGATGTGCAGGTTCTAGTTAATCTAAACTGCAGCTGCTTTTTCCTCCATGCTCAGAGGCAGCTCAGTCCTTCTTAAGTTTACCTTCTTGAAACAGACCATGATTTGTCTGGAACTTTGCATTTAGTGATGCTCAGAGGGCAGGAGCAGTCCCAGACCTGCACCTTCTGCCTGCCTGGTTGTGGCAGAGCACTGCATGCAGCACAGGGACCGTTGCCATAGAGTCTGCTGTCATCAGTAGAATTTCTCAGCTGTACCATTTAGTTTGTTGCAGTAGCTAAACAAAATCTGCATCTTCTGTTTCATAATCTGCAAATGAGGGTGCAGAAGCTGTTAATGAGCTGTATTTGAAATGAAGGAAGTTTGGAACTCTAAGCAATGCGAATGCCCTTGCTTTGTGCTGGGAGGCTGCTTCTACACCCAAACAGCACACATCTAACAGGAGGTGTGCCTATTGTGCAACAGGTTGTATTCAATATATTCTGCTATCCCTGCAGGTGCTACGGTACTTGAACAGTGATACATATAACCTGAAATGGAGATCAAATATGTACATAGAATAGCTGTTCTTTGCAGTCTTTGAAAAGTTTTCATTTTTGCTAACTGGTTCAATTGGATTTGTTTGCTAAGGTAAAATTGACTTGCCCAGGTCAGTTCCAGCTATTTGCTGAACCAGAAGATCCTATGGGAATTAATGTTACTGCTTGTAAAAGTTAGTGTGCCTAATAGGCATTTAACTGAATGGCTTTTTGGGAAGATCTCATTACTTTCAGAGGGGCACGTTTTCAATACTGTGTGTCTGTATGAATGTAATTTAAAGCAGCTTGAGATAAAACAAGCTTGGTCCTAGAGTTGCTCTTCTCTAAATGGTTAGAACCAATGTTTTGAATATTTTAGAGCCCCATCAAGACAATTATTGTAATGTGCTTGTTCATTTAGATGCCCATGCTTTGATTCTGAAGTAGTGTAAATGATGATGTTCCACAAACAATGAACATCTTATAAATGAAATATTACTGCAGCTTGCTTTACACTGTCAAGGGCTGCTTCAAAGGTGGGATTTCCATGGCAGAGGATGGCTTTCCCAGTGCTGGAGGACTGCTGGGGAGTTGGTTCTGTGTAAGAAGCATGGCACAGACTGCTGATTTGGCTCTAACTTCAATCTCATGGTGTGCATGTATGTGAAAGCTGGTATGTGTCAAAGCACGGTATGTATAAAAGCCAGGCACAGGGAGGGAGAGCAGCTGCTTCAGATGTACAGGCAGGAGTGCTCTGCAAGGGAAGGCTAAAGCAGAAGACCTTGACTCTAAAACAGATGGGTGATGTAATTGCACATGCTGTGCTCAGGACAGAGATGAAGGGTGCCCTGATCCTCACAGGACAACAGAATGGCATTGGTTGTTTTAGGCAAAAGTTGGACATCTGATCAACAAGATCAAAATATTTTCCTTTCAGAAGTTAAATGCTGACGAGCCTGCAGCATTTATAAGCTAGTTTGTTTGCTTGGGCTTACAACTCACAAGTTTGCTGTCACATCTTTTGTCTTTGAAGGCAGATTTGTAATAGTCTTTTTTCTTCTTTCCCCCCAAGGACTTGAAGAAAGCAGGTTTGCTGATCTTTGCTAACAAGCAAGATGTTAAAGAGTGTATGACAGTGGCTGAAATCTCTCAATTTCTGAAGCTGACTTCAATTAAGGATCACCAGTGGCACATTCAGGCGTGCTGTGCTCTAACTGGAGAGGGGTAAGGGTTATTCTTTGTAGGAGGGCAGTCTTGAATGATTTTGGTATTTTTACTGTGGTAGCCAGTTCTAACACATTGCTCCCCTTTCAGTGATAAAGCTGTACTTACTGTGTTCTTAATGCAAAAGTCTGACGTAGGAACAGAAAGATCTGATAACCAACATTTACAGGAAACTTGCAGTCTTGACTCTCAGAAGTGTAGTTTTGAGTGACTCAGGCCTAATAAAGATGAATGAAACCTAACATTTTTCATTGGTCTATTAAGAGTAATCATAACTAGAGGCAACTTCAGTGTACATCTGTAAGAGCTGAAGTCTTCTACACACAGATGGCATAGTAAGACCTGAAAAGATTGAATTGTTTCTGGAAATGCTGCCTTCAGTCAGAATTAGAGTTCTCAAGAAGAATTTGATTGTTCAGATAAATTGATGCTGTGGAAGTAATCATCTTTGAAGTTACCCTGAGGAGTGCACCCATTCCTTACACATTCTCTCTCTTGTTTACAGACTCTGCCAAGGACTCGAATGGATGATGTCAAGACTAAAGATCAGATGATTTTTAATGACCCCTTTGCACAGACACTGCTTTAAAAAAAAAAAAAAAAAAAAGCTGTACCTGTGGTTACCTTCACAGTGGCAGAATTGCTGGGTTAGGTGTATTTATAATGAACTGATTTCAACTTTATTTTCTACGTAGATACATACACACATGTATATAAATTCAGACCGTTCAGCAAAAAGAAAAATGCAGGTGATGGCTCAAGTTTGTTTTCCTGGTTGTTTTCCTCTGGAGACGCATGTAAAAGTGGTGATCCACCTTCCTTCCAAGATACAGCCACTGACAACAGTCTGATGCTGAGTGTGGTGAAGATGAAACAAGAGAAAGAACTTATGCTTTGGGGTTTTATTATTACATTGTAGTCCTCTCTAGTCGAAGATGTGGCTTCATTATTTCAGTAAATTAGCAAACAAATCAATGGCATAGATATCAACTTTCCAGTATTTTTAAAGTTACTGATGTTACAAATGCAAAACTATTTTCCTGTATGTGTACTGTACATATTTGTGTATATTTATACCTCAATTTTAGGTTAATAGCAATCTCTTCAGACCAGTGTGTAAAGCTGAATCAGTATGTTGACAGCAGTACTAATATTTCACATTGCCAACTTCTTTTCCTTCATTACCTGTGTGGCTGTAATGTCCATCAGACAGTTGGCTCACCACAACTTTATAAAGCAAGTTCTCTCTTAAGAAAACTGCTTGTTTCTCACATGATTTTTCAGTTTGATTTTTCATAGTGGGTTGGGGCATACGGATTCACCTTCAAATTACAGTATCAGCAAACAGTAAAAATTTGCCAAAGAGTTTTGAAACAAATTTTCTTTTAATCATCATTGGATTAGATGATTCCAAAAGATGCATGTCACGATGTTCTATGCTACTGCTTTACTTTTTTGGCAGCACATGTTCATTTGTGATTCGAGACTTGTAGAACTACCTTTAGCTCTCATAAAGGGAAAAAGTTGGTGTTTTTTTTTTTCCTTAACCAAAGAGGAGAGATGGAAGTATGTTTAAAAGTCCCACTGGAATCTTACAAACTAGACGTATGCCGTAGTGTTTTTCAGAGGCAGAGGTACTCTTCTTTGATAGCATCAAATGTAATATATATATCTATATGCAGTGGTTGGAATTGGGATGGGGAAGGGGAGTGAAGTAGAAGACACTACTTGAAAAGCTGTGAGTGACCCCTTGATCATGTTCCCACAGAAGTTCCAGGGCAGCACTTGCTGTGAATATAACTCCCTTGCACGGTCCCCAGGTGAGTTATAAGAAAGTGTCAAACACTGTGATTGTCTTTTCTTCCTGTAGTATTTCACGGGTTGGTTGTTCTGTACTGAGGCTCAGAATTACCATGTTAAAGGATAGAGGCTCTTCAGTGGGACTGCAGTTGGATGATTTGAAATATTACCAGTGTTTAAAAAGGATACATAGCCTTAACTGCAGGCTTTTGTGTTGGGGTTCTGTGTTGGAAGACTATAGTAAAATGAAATAAAACTTTGTTTAATACACCCTGCCCTTTCTTAGCTCATACAACTGATAAGGATGGAAAAGACATTTTACAGAACAAGCTTGAATTGAACTTTCTAATGTGCTCATCTTTGGTTATGGGGTAATGTAGTCAGTGCACCTGCTCTGCATTTGCCTGCCTCACTGGGGATCATGTTGTGAATGTGTGGGAAAAGAAGGGAGGCGATTTCAAAGGTCTGTATTTAACAAAGGCAGGTAAAGAATTTAACTCCTTAATATATTTCTGGTATCGCTTTATGATGCTCACTGGCTAGGGAACCTGCTGTCTTTGTTAAGCATTTTAACGTGTACATGCATATCTTTCTGGTGCATGCACATAGATATTGGTATGTAACTGGTGTGTTGCAAAATGTTTGAAGAAATAACAATTTAATGCAAAGATGACTTTCTTGGTTTATTTGATGGTATCTTTGGGAATCAAGCTCTGTGCACTTTTGCATATAAAATGGAAGTGTATGTATTCTAGTCCTAAAGAAAAAGCAGACATGCTTACAAACCTACGGATCTGGTTTCTGAATCTTCTGTCTTCCCTTTCATGCCTTCAAAATATTTTGCTTTAGTGTCTTTCAGTACTGTACACTGTTGCCTGAATCTGTAAGGGTTGTGTGTTAGTTTTTTCGTTGGTTTTCCAAGACAAGAAGTTCTTTCTGTTAATGGAGGAAGTATCATGGAGCAGTTTCTGTCTGGCTACTTCTTGATGGAATTTGCTGCTGACTCCTTCACTTAAATTAGTAGGACAGTGTCCAGATAATAAAAGCGTGGTATTCTTTTCCAGGTGTAGCATATGTTGTAACCAGACTCCTTATATTTACATTGACTCTCCTTCTCCCCCTCAGTATCCTGGCTACTTCCACTTTGTGTGCCCGCAAAGGTACTGCATGCTTTGCTTCATCTCTGTCTTGCAAGTGGCAGCTGACCCCAGCAGGGAGCTGAGAGTAACTGCACACATGAGATCTGCCTTTTAAACCAGTGTCTGGTGTCCTTATGAGCTTGTAATCTGAAAAGTAAGTAGTTGGATTGCAAACAGTACAGCCTTAACCCAGCTATGAAAGCATTAATAGATCACATAGAATCATGAGGTTTCTTTTCTATCTCTTTCTGATGCCACTGCATTTAGAGGGAAGATTTACTAAAATACAGTGGTGGCAGTGCTTACTGAAGCATCACATGTCTGTAGCATTCTTCAGCAGTGTTCAGGAAGCAAAAGCAGATGTGCCTTCCTTGTACATGCTAGGTTTGCAGTCTGTAAGGACAGGTTTATGTAGTAGCTGGGCAGCAGTTATCTGCTCTTTGTGAGCAGAGGGAACTCTTCTGGGTTCTCACACACCCAGCAGTGGTTGTGATCTCACTGAAAGTGCAGCAAAACTAGTGAAAGCAAAGGGCTGCATTCCACTGTTACAGTGAAAGACTCTATGGAAGTGTCTGTCTGCCAGAAGGCTCCTCGTGAGAACAAGTGTATTTACTCACATGCTGAGGAGAACATGAGGTGGCTATGCATGTATGTTCCCTCACAATAGCATTCTGGCTATGTGATGGTCTTTTCCTAGGCATGCTGCCTTTTGAGTAATGTTAAAAAATATTTTTCCAGTTAGTCATGAAATAGAAGGAATCCTTAAATTTGGTCATAGAGGAGAAGAGAGGCCAAACTCCTGAAGCCCTTTTCATGCACTTCTTGTTTACAGTGGTTTTCTTTTCCCTGGGGGACAACTCATGGCTTTTTTGCACAGCTCTGCTCATAGAAAAGCGAGTTAACTTTTCATCTCAGCTGCATAGAGTTTCTCACAGTTATTATTTGGAAGCAATTGTCCTAATGTGAGTTGTGACCTTGATTTGTGTTGCATCTGTTTCCCCCCTCTGCACTGTGTTGGATTGCTTTCCCTTTGTTCTTCATTGCTAGGATATTTTACAGAAGGTGGCAGGTGTCTTTTAAAAACGTGTTATTGAGGTTTGTGCTATAGAGCAACACCTGACCAGCAAACAAAACAGCAGTGCAGCATGTTTCAGTGTTTGAGTATCAAGGTGTTTCTTTTGGTTTAGCACATGACAAAGTCGGCATGTTGGCTGTACTCCGTGTTTTTCCTGTGAGCTGAAAATCACACAGGTTTTTAATTGTGAGGAAAGGTGGGAAATCCTAACATAGATCTGCTTGGCCTCCCTTTTAAAATTCTTTTTCTTATTTCAGGGAGGATTACTTTTTTTCTATGCATTAAATAGTGTTCCCAGATGTGTGTTCATGTGTGAATGCTGATACCTGATAGGCACCTACTACAGTCTATGCAGCCCAAGTGCCTACAACTAATGAACTGATCAGTTTTTTCTTTGTGTGCTGAATTTTCCATTCACCTTAAAACAGACACATATCTATGACAGTTCGTAAACGAGTGTTCTTCCATTCCTATGCCCCAGTTTTGTCATGACTGGTGTTACATTTTAGTTCTTGAAGCTTTCTATCCTGTACATGCCAAGCACTCTCCATTTATCACATGGCTAGCTTTCTTTGTGAAAGGAAGCGATCCATTTGTCTGTGTATCAGATTTTTCTTCAAAGAACTGAGTTAAAATAAATTAATCCGAGAATACTTGGTCTTGTAAACCTCCTCATTTAAGCAGTTCTTTTTAATTGGCTAATAAAACATTAACTTTGCTACCGTCAGACTAATTACATCTGACAAGTAGTTTCTCAGCTAATTCAAATGAATGTAGCATTGAGCTTTTAAACAGTGCATCACGGAGCATTATGGGATAAGAACGATGTGACGTTGTGAAGAATAGCACTAAGAAAGGACAATGTCTGTGCATGTAGTCCTGGTGTTTTGCAGGTCAGTGCAGTGAGCATGCAACATGCAGAAAATAAGGAATTAGAAGTGGTTGCCACTAACTTGTTTTGCATCGTTGCTTAGAATCATAAGCAGAAATGGTTTTACTGCCTTACAGGGGTTTTTCTGGTTAACTTTTCTATTGTACAAAAAGTGTTTTGGAAATTCACATTGGATAGTGGTTGCTATTTATAAGAGGATCATCCCCATATATCGTTCTCTATCCTTTCAGGCCAGATTTCTTCTGAGCAGAGACACAAGTTGGGTGTTTGGGTTGTTGGCTTTTTTAAGCTTTATTTATTTGTGAAATTGGAAGACTTGTCTGCTACTGAATTAATACAGAAAATGCTGCTTTCCCTTGAAGCTGTAATTCATTCTTTGCAAATCATCATCAGCTCAGTGTTATCTTGTTTAAATGTTTCCTGTGTCAAGCACCATGGAGGGCAGAACAGTCTCCTGCTGTTGAAGATGTGCTCTTCTGCTAAGAGAAACAAACTCAGATTGGGAAGGCTGAAAAATGCAAGAACTGTGTGATAGAGGAGGCTAGGTGAGCCAGGTCCAACTGTGTCCGTGCAGAGCTTGATCTGAGTGCTTTCAGCATGCCCTCCCCTGTTGTTACTGTGTGCTTTGCCAAAACCTTTTGTCCTGCAGCCTGGTCCCACCACGCAGGCTGTGAATGATGTGGTTTATTTCTATTACATTCTCACTGGGTCTTTACATTTTAGTTTTTGTGTGAAGTTGCATCCATATGGGTATGTATCAATGTTTCTAGGGTCGTATTTACTTTGATTGCTTGCATTTTGTACTTCTCTTTCTTAAAATTTTGTCTTGAAAGAAATTCATAAAATCCATGGCTAGCTCTGATACTGCAATAAAATTTCATTCCAGAACACATGAAATCATTGCTTCAAATTAATATGAGGAGTTATGGGCTGGCTTGTCTTGGCTTGACACTTCTGTGTTTCAAATAAAAGCAAATCTATTAGAGCGATTTAGCTACAACTTTATAAAGCTATTTAGCATAGCCACGTTCAGTTGTGATTCTCTTGCATAACTTTTTCTGAAGTTTTATCAGAATATTCCTTGAATTGTTTCCCCCTTTACCACCTCCTGTCATTCTGGCTTGTGAAACCTCAAGCTGAGCTGGAAGGAGCTCATCTTGTTCTTATAGCTCTTGTTTGAAGGGGTGAATCATACACAGATTTGCCCGTGGGGCACACACAGGTAAGAGGCTGTGTACAATCACACACACATTTATTTATGACCTCACAACTGCTATCCTTGGGAAAACTACCAGTCCTTACTGTTCTAAGATGAAAACACTGGTCAAAACTTTGCTGTTTGCGTTTTACCTTTTGCGTGTGTGGATGGGAAACTTCTCAGAGCAAATGTATGATTTCCCACACGGTTATAAGGGTTTATCCAGGCATCATGTGGTATGGAGAACTGTTTGGCAAAGCTGTGCTGATGGGGTTTATGCTGGGAGTCGCTTGGTAAGAAGTGTGCCTGCTGGTTTTAAATAGAAAAGAAAATGGATTTAGTGGTGGAATGTTCTTTTCCTTTAGGAAATACTGAGTTGTAGTGGTGTGTTCACGTATCGCACGCTGGCAGTGCAGCCCTGGGCTGTTGGGGTTACAGGTAACTGCTTAGAAAGCAAATGGGATGAAATTGAAGCTGCTATAAGGGAAAAAAAAAAAAAGGCATGTGGCTGCTCCAAAGGTATGCTGGTGGTCAGCGCTGGAGCTGGAATTCAATCTTGTTCCATGGGTGTTAATTTTGGACTTGTTGCTCTATTTCTGTCTGCACAGTGCTTGGAGCCATGTGATAATCTCTCAGATAAAAGTAATGCACAGACAGGTGTTCACCGAGCTCAGATACGTACAGTAACTGCATGCTGCCTCTGTCACAATGGCGTGATGGACAGCAAAGTGCTTTCCTGTGCTGTTCTTCTGCCTGCTGTCTGATGGGAGTCTACGGATTGCTATGTTAGTCCAGAAAAATACACATGGAAGTATTTTGGAAGGCTTTTATTCATGTGTGTTGTATTGTTAGTGATCAATACCTTCATTCCTGCACGTAAAAATGGTTTGCCACTGCTGATCTCCAGTCACTTCCCCTCTGCAGCCAACAGCTGAGCGTCCTGCATAGAGCAGAGCTGCTGCAGTGAGCCTTGCCTTAGTCAGTGACATCTTCCTTATGGACATGGAATTGGTCTTTTTAAAAGAAAAATACTCTGCTGCTTTTTGGCTTTATTTTTCTTGTCTGTGTGAACATTGAAGACTGCTGTGTTCTCTTTAATTGTCTTTGAGTTAAAACATCCTAACTCTTGGAGCCTGTTACCACTTGTAAAAGTACAAGTCATGTCATTACTGCTGTTGCACAGTGGACTTCAATTTATTCCAAGTATTTAATGCATTTTTTCAACATGATATTGAATTAGATGCAAAAGTACAGGATTGTTAACATCTTGGGAGCCAATACTTGTTATCAGCCTTGTTCTGTTTTGCTTTTTGCCTCATTTTTCAGAACTGGAAGGCATTTTTTTCCAGGTGTGTGTGTGTATATATGTGTGTAGGCAAACTACTGGGGTCATGCAAAGTGATGCAGATCTTGGAATAACAATATTTTGTCTAAATTCTTTGTACATAAAGTCTTAGTATGAATACAGGTACTGTTGAAGACTTGCTTTTGAGGTCCTTGTACTGCTGAATTCCAAGAGGCAACCCCATTGTAACCTATATGTATAGCTTTAAAACATGACTTGCTGGATGCGTATTAGAGCTGTATAAACAACTAATAAACATTATTGTTTGTATTAAGATGGATAACTTACCTCTTCATTTTAGATTACCCATACCGTTTTCAGAGGAGGGTTGACAATTTTTTCTCTGTGTGTGTGTATATATGTGTATATGTAAATGTTCATGCATGTGTGTATATATACAGGAATGATTTAGAACTTGGTGCAGTGCAGGATGTGGCCCAGTACACCAGCAGAGCTGCTGCTATTGGCAGCAGTAGGTGAGCACTGCTTTAACTCCATGGATAGCAATTTGGGCAAGTCTCATCCCACCTGCTGTGGTGCTGCTTGCCCAGCTCTGTGTTGCTGGCCAGGAGCTCAGAGGTTGCACAAGCTCCTTTTCAGATACACCATAACCTCCCAGCAGCAAGCCCTGCTGCAGTGTGCCCTGCAGTGAGGGGAGGGAGGTGCTGTGTGCTGTCCTGTGGGACAGAGGTAATGCAGGCTAGCCTGGTACGTTGGCTGAGCATCCTCCACGTGAGCCTGTGCAAGTCAGTAAGTGTGCCCTTACTGTTGCACAGCATGGGGTTTTCTTGTGCCTTTAGAAAGTACTTGGTTGTAAATCCAATTGCTTTGTAAATTGAGAAGTGTTTATTTTTGAAAGGCTTTAAACAATGTATTACCAATGTATTGGAGCACAGGTGCCCTTGTTGGATGCAGATTGTGGTAAGCAGTGTAGTCGTGTCAGTAGGCAGTGGACAAACCCAAATCTCATTTCTTCTAAGGTGCTACAGGTGCTGTAATATTTACACTGCCATAAGTAGAGAAATTGATACATGAAGTCTTGGATTTGATGCGTGGATTTTCGTAAGAACTTCTGAGATCTTATTTTTCATCCAGACTTTAAAAAGAAACATGAATTTTGTTAAGAGCACATTTACAGGCAAGGAGAAAGCTGCTTTCCAAAGCACATTGGTTTATTTGATTTTCTCTCCCCACAGAGCTTCTTTTGCATGTCTGCCAGGTGCATGAGGGAGAACTCGAGGCTGCTGGGAGAACATGGTAATGAATTGCCACTTGTGTGCTGCCTGTGCCTGCTGACAGCTAACAGCATGGACAAGGTAGAATTGTTCCTGTAGCTTTTCTACAAGGCCTCAGAAACCCACTTACCATCCTCCATCCTCTGCACAGACCCCTGCGTGCTGCTCGTCGCCTCTGCAACTCAGCACAGAAACAAACCTATGCCATTGCTTCTTCAGGAGACAAAGAGCTGCTGGTTTTATAGGGATTGCTTTGGGCAGCAGGTGGAAAGCTTTTCATCTGCTGTGAAACAGAATCATTGTCAGTGCAAAGCTTTTTGAGTAAGAGTAATGAAAGAAATGCAGGCTGGGATGTGGTACAGGTTTATGGAGACACAACTGCTGCTGTTGTTGTTTTTCTCCTTCTTGGTGATGGGAAGGTTTCAGGTGCAGGCTGTCCTTCTCACATTATCACCAGATTCCAAGCTCGCTCTGTTCCTCTCATGTGGCATGGATGGACTCCACTGACACAGAGGAGCATGGCTGGAGGTGCTCCAGTTTACAGCTGCTTCAGGTTTTCTGTCAGTCACATCTGGATCAAACCCAGGAATATCAGGCATTTCCATGCACCAGTGTTTGCATGCTGCTCTGTGCTCCACTCCCAAAGCCCTGTGAATTGTCTCTGCAGCCACTGCTTGTCTGGCTGCTCCTGGGCTGCTTCTTTCCAGCAAGGCCAGATGGGGGCAGAATCCTCCTTTCTATTGTAAATCCTTAAAAAAAAAAAACAACTTCCAGTTTGAAGGAACTGAGCTATCTCCAAGGTCCCCAAATGCTTCAAGCCTGCACTGCCACCAGAAGAAATCTTCTTCCTTTCTGTCCCTCACAGCACCGCTTGTGTACCTGAGCACTGAGGATGGGAGACCTAAATCTGTGATAAAACTACTTTTATTTGCAAAAATTGGTTTCTCTGTGTTGTTCAGACTGTTGAAACAGGTTTTAGGTGGTGAAGATTAGAAGGCAGGAGGCCAATGGAACAGTGGAGCTGTGGCTGCTGGGAATCACCTCTACCTGCATTTAGGAAAGCAGATCCCACCTTTCACCTATGGAGTCATTTGGGTAATTTAGGTAATTTAATTTAGGTAATTCCTGTACCCTGACAGGGGCTTGCTCTAGGCACAGAAAGTGTGTCACCACAGGCAGAGCATTGCCTTCAGCAACCCATTTTGGGCAAACAAGGAAAGCTTTGTGTGGAGAGCCAGGGATGTGCCAGACTCATCTTCTGCTGTCTAACCCCAGCGTGGCAGTTGTTAGCCCAGGTCCAGTGGCACCAGTAGCTGCAGCCAAAGACAGCAGTCCCCTGGAGGTGAGCAAGAGGCAGCTCCATGCACTCATTCCCTCATTCAGCTCCTTCCTTCCCCAGGAACACACACACCCCATGTTGAAGCTGTGCAATTGCTTGCAAGATTTCCATGCACTTCTGCAGGCTTCCCTTGCAATGCTGAAAGCTTCGAGCAACTGCAGCCTCCATCAGCAGGGAGCTCTGCTTTCAACACTGAAAACTATTTGCTTGAATTTAACATCAGTGGCAAAAAAAAATCAGCAAACAAAAGTACTTCTTCCATACATGAAGAACTGTGGGTTAAAGCACTTCTGTGGGAGTTACCTTGACTGTGAATCTTTATAGTGCAGTGCTCTGAAACCAAAGGTGGTGTGGTGCAGTGTGAAGCTCTTGAGCTTGATGTAACCATGCCTGCATTGTGCCTCAGTTTCAGACTGGGAAGTGAGTCTGCATTAATCCATCCTGCAATGAATATCTGCCCTAAAGAGCAGAAGCCAAACTCAAGCTGGTGCACAACAAGACGTGTCACAAGAGGTTTCCACACCTGGATAAGTCATCTCCTCTGAATTGTTTCCTATGCAGCACCAATCCCATTATAGCTGCTTGTTGTGCTGAGCAGAATATGTCTCAGCACTGCTGCCTTGGTGGCAGTGCTTTGCTGATGGCCACTGCCTACAGAGCATCTCTGCCAGAGCCAGGGCAGTTCTGCAGCTGCTTCTGTCCATCCACCCTCATAATGCTGCTTTATAAAAAGACCCATGAAGTCATCAGTGTTTGGCCCCCCGTATAATCATTCCCAAGAAAATGAGCTGAAAGACTGCCAGACTCAGTGAAAATTTTAATGAATACAGTTTTGCTCCTCCTCATTTCCCTACTGTACAGGAAAGCTGCATCGCTGAGCCTCTTACAGAGTGAGGTGAGATGGGGAGATCAGGACAGCAGGGCCATCACCCATACAGGTGGTGTGCATGGGCAGGGATACCTGAGTGCTGTGGGGTGAGGACAAGGATGGGGCTCAGAGTTCTTGAGCCTGGTGGTACCAGTGCTGAAGATGCTGTGTAGTGAAGGGTGAAGAAATTGTATTTTGTATTTTTTTTCTTTCCTGACTGTTTCTTTTTAATCCTGGAGTAGGGAACCTGCTTTGGCAGGGGGATTGGACTCGATGATCTCTGGAGGTCCCTTCCAACCCCTACAAATCTGTGATTCTGTGAGTTATTTTGGTAAAATCACGTTTATGTCACTGAGGGAAGCATCAGTGAAGGACTTCAGTTTCCAGAAGTCAATGTTAGCTCACGAGCTCCTGCAAATGACACTGGAGTCTATTGCTCTTAGTACAGAGGGGCACAACACCAGATGAGTTAAATATTACTTGTGGTGCCATTCCTTAATGCAATGCACAAGGCTTACTGACTGCACTAACGAAGCTGTTATCTTATTCTCTGGTGCCACTGCAGAGGTGAGCAATACGAGCAACAGAGGTCTGCTTGTGGCTGCTTAGCGCTGGTAATAACAGGCCAGAGGATTTCTCATGGTGGCTGTTGCATCAATGACCTTTGTGTTGTGTTAATGACCTTTCATGGAGCGTTCTGCCCCTGGGAATTGCTTCTGCAAAGTATTGCTGGCCACAAGTTACGACTCCTAATATTTGATGGACTACTGCAGATTGTATTTCAGGATATGAGATACCATCCCAGCAATGCAAGTTAGGAATGCTAAGCATGTTGCAGTCCTTCCCCTTCGTTTCACTGTTGGAGGTATTGGTAACCTCACATAGAAATGTGCTAAAAGAGCAGAGAAAAGGGAGAGATTTCTAAGAACAGCTCTTGAAGACACTGGTTTAGTAAAGTCCATAACACTGAGACACGTGCTGCTCTCATTAGTATGTAGGCTATCACTTTGAAAGAAGCTCTTATAAAACCATGCACTTTATTAGCAAGTTGTCAAGTTGGCATCTTTCAGGTTAAGGAGACTCAGTGTCCATGAATGGACATCGATGGGAAGATTTAGCAATCAGAGTATCTCTTTGGGATCAAAGTGCTTTATGCACTATGCTAATCTTGATCTTTTCTGGCAGTTCTTGTGGTCATGCCCTTCAATGACTCCTTTAGAAGCCCATGTCTGCTAAACTGCATGCATGCTATTTCAGTTGGTGTGTGAGCCAGCTTGCAGTACTGGGGTGGCAGAGGGATTCCCAGTGAGAGAGACCAGGCATCAGTGCATGATGGTGCTTCATGAAGGAGCTCTGCACAAATCTGAAAACCCCTTGGAAGGATGGATGCCACAAAGAAGACAGGTAGTAGCATAGTTGTTGTACTGAAAAGGCAGCAGAGGTGATGTCAACTGAGGGACTGGTCATGATTTCTGCTGAAGGCAAAGACTGTGTTCAGCTCTGTCCTTGCATCTCGCATGACCTCTGCTGGGAAACGCCTTTACATGATGGTTGTTTCTGTCCATCCATTTCTCTGTTGCTGTTGGGATGATGTGGAAAGTTGGCAGTGCTGTTCAAAGCCACATGAAACTTTTCTGGTGCCAAGCTTCGTTAGAAATAGACTTAATGTGATGACAATAACTGATCTGAACGTGGACTGGGATATAAATGAACATGGGCTGCCTTGTGCTTTCTCAATAAACGGTTTCAGCTCGTTCCATAAGAAACCACAGAAGAGCTTCTGAATTCACTGTCTCTGCTCAACGTGGTAAGCAGCTGGGGGAAAAATACAA